TAACCCTAACCCTAACCCTAACCCTAACCCTAACCCTAACCCTAACCCTAACCCTAACCCTAACCCTAACCCTAACCCTAACCCTAACCCTAACCCTAACCCTAACCCTAACCCTAACCCTAACCCTAACCCTAACCCTAACCCTATCCCTAACCTTAACCCCTAACACTAACACTAATGTTGATACCTCATACCAACACTAGTGTTTTGAAAAATTTGACCATGAAAGACCCCTCTTGGCCTCATGAAGAACAAATTTTTCACTTACCTTACCCTTACTTACACTGTGGACATTCCTGGTTGTAAGATCCTGATTATGCTTTCTATTAAAAAAAAGAAAACTGTCAGAATAACTCCTGAAATCTGCTCATATTTTACCTTGTAATTGCCTCGGACTTGTTCTGTGGGACAGCGGTTTCTCTTATGGGAAGGGTTATAAGTAGTAAAATATATAGTGTTTTCAAAATAAAAAATGTGGGCGATAAAAAATCCCCAATTTTTTGCAGGGTATTTATATATTTTTTCACTATTAGCCTCGGCACTTAACACCGAGTCTAAAAAAGGATCTCGGCACTTAACGCCGAATCTCGGCACATAACGCCGAATCTCGGCACATAAACGCCGAATCTCGGCACATAACGCCGAGTCTAAAGGGATCTCGGCACTTAACGCCGAGTCTAATCTTTCCTTAAATTTCCGGATCACGTCTTTCACCCGACTTATTCCGGCTTTCGTGTGAAAAAATAATTTTTCAAAAAGATATATAAAGAGCTAGTATAATGCACCTGAAGAAGCTACATCTCATTGTAGCGAATAGATTCAAATCTAAGTGTCTCTAGACTCTCAACTTTGTTGCTTCTTTATCGGTTTTTGGATATATTCTTATTTTTATTCCTACCTAACCCTAACCCTAACCCTAACTCTATTCCTACCCCTATTCCTATATTCTAATTCTAACCCTATCGCTAACCCTAATCATAACCCTATCACAAAGCCTAATTATAACATAATCCTAATCCTAACCCTAATCCTATTCCTTAAGCTTAACATTATCTTTAACCCTAATATGATCTTAATTCTAATTGTAATCCTAATTTTAATTCTAATTTAAATCAATTTATTAATCCTAATCATAATTCTGTCCTTAATCATAATCCTAATTCTATCTTTAACATTATTACTAATTCTATTCCTGAATTTGACATTGACCGTTATCTTTATGTTTATTTATATCCCGAAATATAATTTTAACTCTAACTATAATTATTTTTTCCTAATTCTAAACATAACCCTAATCTTATCCTTTAATCATATACTTGATCTTTAAATTAACCTTAATCCTAATCGTTGTCATATCCTTGCTCTTAATCCTGATCTTAATTCTATTTTGTTCCTATTGATAACCCTAATTGTTGTCTTAGCTCTAACCTTGATTATATTTCATATCCCTAATCATAATCTTGACCCTGAATCTATCTTTATCCCTATTATCTATCCCTAATCTTAATATTAACCTACTCCTAATTCTAATCTTAACCTTTATCGTAGTCTTAACCCTAATTGATTCTGTTTTTTGTCTCTTGTTTAATTGTTTTTATCATATCTGATGTAACTTATGTTGTTTTATTCATTAATTATTGTATTAGTCTTTATTCTATACATATGATTATTTATTATCCCTTACTATATATGTATTGTGTGTATTCCTTCATTGTATCTTCGTGCTTGTGAAATGTTGTTATGCATTTATGTTTACTATTTGCTATATAAATATCATCGTGTTCGTTGTATAGCGGTAATTGTTTTTTTTTCTCTCTCTCTACTACTGTAATTTATTCGTTCCGCTATGGTAATGTATTCGCTCCGCTATGGTAATGTATTCGTTCCGCTATGGTAATGTATTCGCTCCGCTATGGTAATGTATTCTCCCTTTTATTTGTATAGCTTTTTATTTTCTTTTATTTATTTTTTTTTTTTACTGTTCTTATTCTCTCTTGTTTGTTTTTTTTCTTTATCTCTGTTATTATTGTTATTATTTCTTTCTACTTTGTCTATTTCTTTTCTCTACCCCTTTCCCCTTTTCTGTCTTTTTTGTCTATTCTTCTCTCCTTTTCTGTGTATTTTTTTTCGTAGTTTTTTCGTCCTTTCTCTTTCTATAATTCTTCCTATTCCATTTCCTCGTCTCTGTGCATTTTTTCCCCTATCCTTCCCTTTTCTTCTTGCTTGTTTCTCCCTTCTCTCTGCGTATACTTTCTCTGTTTTTGTTATTCTGTATTTCCATTCTCTCTAACCCCCTTTCTCTGTCTGTGTTTTTGTCCACCTTTCTCTTTTTCATATATCTTTTCTCTGTTTATATTTGCGTTTTTGCTTCTCCGTTTTTTTCTTTGTTTGCTTGTTCTCCCGGTCTCTTCCTTTGATTTATCTTCATATTTCCCTTTTCTGTTCTGCTTATATTCTTTATCCTCCTTCTCGAACCTTTTTCTTTTCGACTTTTTTTCTCTATTTATTCCTTTATGTTTCTTTATCGCATTTTCTTTCCTTGTCATTGTTTCTTTCGTCTTTCTTTTATGTTTGCCTATTTTCTTTTATGTTTATTTTTTTTTGATTTACTTCTTTTTTCGCTTTTTTTACTTCATTCCTCTTTTTTTTGTCAATTTATTATTACTCTTTTCTTTGCTTCTTATTATTTACATTACTTCCGTTTCTTTCGTCTTTTTGCTTTCCTACCATCTCCTTTTATATATCTTTTTTTTTCTTTGTCTTATATATTACATTCTGTCTTTTCATGGGTTTCTTTGCTTCCCTTTATTGATTTTGCCTATTATTTGTACTTTTTTTCCTCAGTGTCTCAATTTTTCTATCTGTTTTGTTTTATTTACTCTTTTGCATTCTTTTCTGTTTATTATTTTTGCTCAATTTCTCTCTCTTTTTATGTATTTATTTTTTATCATTTTAATTCCTGTTTTGTCGGGTCCTTGTTTATCCAGTATTCGTTCCCATACTTGTTTTTGCTTCTTTTCTTATTATCTCAGTCTCATCCTTTCCCTTCTTTGTTCTTTTCTTAATATCACAACCTTTTCTTATTCTTTTCATTGTTTCTTTGTTCTATTCTGTTTTGATTTGTTTCTTTTAATTGTCACTATTCATTTTTTTATCACATTCCCTCTTTTATATATTCTTTGTCTAATATCCCAATCTCTTCTTGTGGTGTTCTTACTTTTTGTCTACTCCCTCCTTTTTTTCACTTTGTTTATTCTTCTGCCCTATTATATCAACGTTTGTTTTGTCGTGTATCATATTGAAAGCCCATGATAAGTTGTATCTTGTTCATCATTTTCCTCAATTGCTATTTTTCAATATTGATGAGTGATGTTGATGACTTATTTGAGATTTATGATAACATATCAAGAAAGTGTAATGCTAATTAACCATTGACGCTTGATAGCATATTTATAAGTTGGCTGGTGCTCTCTTACTACTGTTAAGAGCTTTATATATTTTTTTTAATAGTAAAACTGAAATTGATTATAGCAGTTTAATGATATAATGATTTCAAACTATTTTTTTTTACTAATTATTCCAGAGCACGCTCTATGTAGTGGTATATATGAGACCGTTCAGTGAAGCAATCTCGGGTGAGATAATAACTGGATAACATTTTCTGTAAGTTTGCATACGCGAACTGGGCTATCTTCGGTTATCTTAGGCTACTTTCCCCTATTTTTCAAACATCGAGCACCTCGGTGTTTGAAAAATGTTATTAGGAATGATACCTCATGTATCAAGGTATCCAAGCACCGTGAGTCTTGCTTCTGATTGGCCATTCAAATGATACCTGTAGTAATAGGATATCCTATTCTTATGTATCACTTACCCTTTGTTCTGATTGGCTTTTAGCATAATGCCCATGGTACCCATGGTACCTAAGGTACCATTTCTCGACGACTCACGGCGTGAGTCGCCCAGAAATGTTATTAGGCCATTTTGAAAACACTTAAATGCCGATATCTCCCGCTCTAGTAATGCGTTTTGAAATTTTAAAACGCTGGTATAGTCTGCTAGTTCCAAGCTACCAACTGACTAAATTTAAAAACAGTGAAAGCAAAATTCGTAGACTTGTAAGCTCCAATTTCTAGAGCCTAAAGCACCATACTTTGAAGGCTTATATCTCAGCATTTACTAATTAAATTTTCTTGTTTCAAAGCATGCATAGCTATTTGGAAGCCTCAGCTACTAGTTCAAGCTTTATACGGCCACATTAAACGCGTTTTTGGTTTTGATAAGGGTGAAAAAATGCATCGATACAAATCTCATATTAACTCTCAGGAATAAGTCTAAACTGCTTTTTTTTGAAATCCTTAATACAATTATACAAGCTTTAGGTGCTTATCTGGTTAGTTTCAGCACAATTGGCCTTGTTTTTAACGAATTTTAATGTGAGACGTTCCCAGCTCTCCGGATTTAAACTCGTATATCTCGTCATCCAATAGGCCAGCTGCTAAGTTTCAAATACTGTTCTGTCTTTAAATTGCGCCAGCTTTTTATCGGCTTAATTTGTTTTCAAAATTTCTGACTTTTTTTTGTCGCCCCTAACCCAGACGGGGTATTACCTTAACCCTAAATTATCCCCGTTTTTTTTATTTTTTTTTTGTTAACCCTGTTTCTTACCTTATTCTATCTTATATAGGTTTGCATATGCGAGCTTTTAGTGTGTGATGTTCATAAAGGATACCTCAGGCTACCTGAGGATACCTGGTGCTACCTCCCCCTATATTTCAAACACCGATTACTTCGGTGTTTGAGAAATGTTGTTAGGGCATTCCAATGCGGGATATTCGGATGCATCATCAGTATAGCCTCCAAGGCCCTCTTTGCTGTGCGGTGGAGCTTCTTCCTGCGTAATTTGAGCTGTCCTGGTGTCAAATCGTGTACAGATGCCCCATTGCATAGTTTGTGCAAATGCTGGAGCATTGCGTTGTATCTCTCCACAGGAGAAGCTCTGGCCCTTCCGGTAGGGTTTGCTTCGGTTACCCGAGGACCTCTTCTGTTGCTGTTAGATAGTACCTGGCTTTTGTAAGTGGGATCCAGGATGCTTCTTGTTGCCAAATCGCTGCCTGCGTCTTCCAATGGCGACATGAATTGCTGTCGAAATCCATCATTCAAGACTGTTAAGCACAAAGAATAAAAGGATTATTATTTGTAGCTTATAAAAAATGTTCAATATTATAAAAACAAGAAAAGACTTATTTGAATAAGATCAGACACAAAAACTAATGATTTATTGATGAAGACAAGAGTTATTCTATTTATACTAAGTTCTGAATGCCAAAGTAGCAATTTATCTTGTACAACGCTTATCACATCTGGTGAACCTCAGTATTTAGATAGCTGAGATGCACTTCACTTATCATAGCTTGTCCATGTTGTTGCACAACACAGACATATCTACCCATCAAGAATACCTTAATCTTTATAGACAGTTGTAGCCCTTCTGGCACAACAAAGACGTTCAGTTGTACGCCTTGTTGGCTGATTTCGGATCTCATTGCCATCATTTCTTGCAAGAGTCTTGCGGTGAAGTCAATGCTGGCAGCGTTGTTGTTGTTGTTGTTCATGGTTCGCGCTGATAATAAAAATTTAGTAAGCAAAGAAAAGATATGTTCAGAGTTGTGTTGTACCGTATATCTCGTTGCGCACACACCACCACGTTGTTGAGCGTCATTCGGCTCACAGGCTTCATGCAAGTAATGCTGACCTCATTGTACGCCCATAGTATAAGCATATGTGCACAGTGAATACCACTCGATTTGACATGATGTTGAAAGTGAAATGACGTAGAGGTAGCCTGAGGCGACATATCACATCATAGGAAACACGTTCCTTACTTGATCTTGGACTTTGAGTTACCAAACGTTATATGCAAGGCTACGTATCACTTGCTTGTAAACGATGATAAACGCATTTGTTGGCGAGCGCATATAAAACTTGAATTAGTATATAAAGCTGCCACTTGAAATTTGTTTTTACTTGCCTATTTTTCTTGGTTTCTCCAAACATGTCATTCTCAATCCGTATATCACGAGAAACAGAGCCATCCTTCTGTACAAATTGCTATACCAGCTTTGACAGTGCCCGTGCTCTACGCAACCATCGCCGAAACTGTTGTGCTCCCATTTTGAATGAAGACCAAGATGTTGAAATGGAAGAGCAACCTCCAGTGGAAACAACGCTGATACAGCCACAATCTCCCCCCAGTGCGCTAGTCACAGCCAATTCAGATCATGCAAACCAACTGCATGATGATGATGCCATGAGTGATATTGAAGAAATGATTCCTGCTGCTGACGATGCTGATTACGACTACGCAGACTTTGAACAGACGCCGGGTGCTGCTGATCTGCTGCCTATTGTCGATAATAATGGTAAGGAATTGCAGCGCTAAAGTAGATGTATATACTCACAATAGCGGATTCCACACATGCGATAACAGGAGACAATCCAGAAGAACCAGGGCTTGAATTTGATTTGCTAAATGTCAAATACAAGACAGTTGGAGTAGTCGACCCAGATGCAGAAGATCAGGCTTGCTTCTACGATTGCAAATCCCTCGAAGACATCAACCAAAATACATATACAACCACAGAACTGGTTTCGATTGAGCCGTATGATATCGTCAATGATTTTGCCATACCACGGGATGCATACAGAAAGTTGATCAGGTTGATGAACACTGTTTTGAGAGATACAGAGAAAATTAGTCGAGGTAATTCGCATTGCAATGATATGTCATTTATACAATAACTTACCAGCTTCCGATCCTCCCCCCCATGAACTGATAGAAAGCAATCCGGAGATCATGCATGGCCCTCGTGTGCAAAGCATGCTTCAGCGCCAATCATCGCTGACATCCCATGAATATGATGTGTGTATCAATGGCTGCAAGCTGTACGCATTGGAAGTAGACGACGAAGAGACAATTTGTGATATTCGTTCCCATGAAAGATACGATGCACGGGGAGATCGTCGAGCCCTGTCAACAATGAAAGTCATGTCAATTGGAGACATCGTATCACGATTAGTTGCGAATCCAATAAAGAGAGAGGAGCTTCGGTACCGACATGCCTACGACAACAGAGACCTTGAAGAAAATCCATCCGATGCTATCATTGCTGACGTATTTGACGGCGCCACGTACAAGTCCATCAAGAATACGCATTTCACAAATGACCTGGATATCGCAGTTGCGATCATGAATGATGGCTTTGTAGTTGAAAAGAGAGGTGATCGGCTATTCACAATTATTCATTTAACAGTGTTCAATTACGATCCACACAAGCGTTACAAGGAGGAGTACACGCACGAGCTTTGTATCTTTCCAAGAAAAAAGAAGCCCAAATCATTTGACTCGTTCATTTCCATCATCTTGGCAGAGCTCCAGTGGCTTTCCACGTATGGAATGGTAGTCGAAACAAATGATGCTGGGCCAATTCGTTTGAAGGTTTATCCTCTAATTTGTGGTGGTGATACTCCAGGTAAATATCCTGATTGATAAAGCAACTAATCAGCATCCACAATGGCTAACATTAAATTGATTTACCTACCTGCTTTATTCTAGCCGTGTTTGACTGGAGCAAGTGTGCTCATCATGCATCTGAGTATGGCTGTCGTTGGTGTCTTTCGCGTGGTATGCACCCTGATAATCGCAGCCATGGGATGTACTTTCCAAATGCTGGAAGCATGCGTACGAATGAAGATTACGAGAGGGCTGAGTCCAACCTTGGATTCAACGGTGTCAGCCTTTTCAATCAGCTATCGTCATGCATTGCACCCCAATGCTTTGGATTCGAAGAAATGCATACATTAGCACGAGGTGTTGGTTCAGAACTCTTCGAAATGCTCACTGTCGGCCTGTCTCCGAACAACACAAAGTTCTTCTACACATATCCAGATGGTGAATTGGAGCGAGAAAATTATCCATTTTTCATTCCAAAGCAACGGCTGTTCGAGATTGGCAAAGCAATTGAGGACACAAGATCACATATACCAGTTGCATTTGATGGAAGCTTTTTGAATCTGGTGGAGAAGCTACGAGGCACCCGCAGTGTTGACTATCTTGATAATTTGCTGGTAAGATCAGATCCACTGTAATCTGCAAACGTACACATGTAAGTCGTGAATTAGGATCTGATTATTTTGATTTGAAATAGACCATCATACCTACTCTCTTTGTCCCAGAATTAGCCAGTCCACAGGCTAGGAAAGCAATCATGAAGCTGGTTAGAGGCGTCTGTCTTGCATTGCAATGGGAGTTCACTGAGGCTAGGTTGGCAGAGATTGATGAATGCATTGACTTCTTCATTGACTACTGCAAAGCTCAGAGGGATGCCATGTGCTTGTCACTTTCGGTCTTCCGTCACGTAATGCATCAGCTTACACATGTAGTGTGGATGATAAGAGAAATGGGGCCAATTGTAGCCTACTCCTCACGAAGTCAAGAACGGTTAGTCATCTATACATGCTATGTGTTATCACACACATCCAGTTACTTACATAACAACATCATCCATTTTACAGAAGCATTGAAAAGTTTGGTGATTTGATAACTGGCAAGTCAAGGACAGGCAAGCAATCTTCCAACTTGATTGAAATTGTTGCAATCAGAAACCAGCTGAAAAGGGTCTTCGACTCAAATGAGTTCCTCCAAGGCATTCGACCACAGCCATATGCATCCACCACATACCTCAATCATCCAGAATCTCTAACAAGCTCACAGTTGTGGGAACCTGATCAAGAAGAGACAGATTTGGATTATCATTTTGGCTTCGATGGTACTGATCGTACTGAACTCCATGGTGTTCCAATTGCAAGATTCAAGCGTGCTTTGTCGAAATACTATTGCAGGATATTCTCTCTTCAAAGGCTGAACAGTCCATTGTCAATGACCATCAAGGTTGCCCATCGTGCTCTAATCGGTTCTACTCTCATAGGATCAGAAATATACAGAGAGAAGATGCATGAGTTTCGTAGAAGCAACCATCTGGTCATGTTTAGGTCAACTCACCTTAATCGACTTAACCACCCTGTCTCCTGTTGGTTTGTTTCGCGAGTGATATTCTTTTTCCAACATGTCTATGATGGGTCCACCTACTTTTTGGCTTTCGTTGAAACCATGAAAAATCATGGTGTTGCTTCTCACGACAGGTCTGTCCCTTTTGTTCGTATGAATGAGCCTGTCGAACAATAAATTGCAAGAAGGGTGCCGAGAGTGATTGATCCCAAGTATGCTGTCATTTCTATTGACGATGTTGAGATGCAAGTGGGATTGGTGAAATCTTTGGATAACGACTTGCACTTTAGCGTCATTGCAAACTACCATGCGTTTGAACAAGATATGTCGATCGATGCTGGCGATATTCGCAACCTTTAACGAGGATTGAAATTGCAACATACAGATTTTTTTTTTTTTGCTTTCGCGTAAAACTACCCACTTGAGGCTACGAAATAAAAGATAATACATTTGTCAATACAATACATAGCTACATTCATTAATCATACTTGTATACCTCTTACAGCTTTGTTGTCCATGAAGGCATGCGCAAAATAATTATAATAAAAGAAAAGGATCCGCATCACTGACCATCAAAGCATTTGAGAAAAGCATAATTAACCCAGCAAGGTTAACGTCCAACGAAGAAAAAACGAGTTTGCTCGGATTCGAACTGACGACCTTCAGTTTGTTAGTCAGGAATATTACCACTTTGACATGGCGACTCAAAGTAACCAGAAACTCGGGTCACGTGATTTTTTCCCTGATTTGTTTCAAATTGAGCAAGTTTGGAGGCTTCTAACTTCGTAGATAATGATGCTACGAATTGTCGTTCGGTACGGAAAATAAACAAAAGAACCCAAAAAGTCTGACCGTACCATTTAAAAGCGCATATCTGATAACTATCTTCACAGTGTAAAGCCAAATGTTCTGATATGGGAACATCGAGGTGCTCATGAGAACATCAGTTGGGCCGTAGTGTAATGATGGGGTTCAATTGGTGACTGAAGTAAACGACTTAGATCTAAATGCAGATGAGTCTGATGCGATCGTTTTTAATCCCGTGATTGTTGAATCTGAGGATGGCGATGATGTTACCCAGGGATCACAAGAGCTTGGGGGTAGAGAAGGAACCGGAAGAGATTTACGATGTTGATACGAAGGAAATAAGGAAGGAGTTGAAGCATGCGTATGAAACTATCTTGTATCATACCATCCCAATAGATGAAAAAGAAAAGTCCATGTTGAAAACTATCCGTAGGAATCTGAACGATATCAGATTGGAGGAAGTATCAGAGAAAAATCAAACAGATTTACGTGATTATTTTGTTTAAATGTACTACTTTTCAATAAAAACTTTTATTTTTTAATATCTGATTGGCCCAAATTCAATCGCAGCAATTCCCACTATGAAATAAGGCTAAGATTTTTAGAATCTGTAACCTTATATAAAATTAGGCCATTAAGGCTAAATAACTGGTAAAAAAAAATTTTGAAAGATTTCAGCCTTATTCCCCGCATAGCCTTATGTAGGACGGCCTTATATAGAGCGACTACTCTACGGCAGTGACCAAATCATGTTATTAGGTAGAAAACTGTTAAAATTTTTCTTTATTTGAAATTAGGATAATGTGCAATAAAATGTATACCCTACGTCTCAGTTAATATTATTTTGTTTATACCTCTTATCTGGCAGCAATTTAGTAGTTGCCAGTGATTCCATTATTTTATATATTTTTGTGGGACATATAGTTGTTGATCTGATGGATCAAGAACGACATTTCAATATATTGTTTTTGAATCATGTCTAAAGAGTAGCTCTTTAGTGTTGAGCTTGTATCCTTTTTAGGTATATTTATGTTACAACACATTACAATACCCTTGACATTTACTTTAGTATCTGTCATCTGTTAATTTTATAGCATTTAACCCTTGCCATCTTTATGCTAATACTATTATTATGCATGCTTATCTGCGGATGGTAGCATGGTTTGATTGAGATGACGTTTAGTTTGGGCTTTGTTTATGATGGGAATCTAGTCTAATTCATTTCGCATTGAACTTATCAATTATATAATCCTTTGAATCCTTTGTATACATTAACATATTGATTCATTGTATTTTATCTACTTTCATCATTATATTTTTACATCTGTTTCTTTATTTCTGTATTCTTTATTAGTTGGGTCTTTATAAACCTGGTGCTCATTTCTATAGACGAATCTACTTTGGATATTTATCTATACATTTACTCTATTTCACTATTACCATTTACATTACAATAAACCACTTTGTAACAGTACTTCAGTTCCGAGAGTAAAATTTCCTAAATTCGCACTTTTTGCCTTTTGTTGTGCCAGAAGGGCTACAACTGTCTATAAAGATTAAGGTATTCTTGATGGGTAGATATGTCTGTGTTGTGCAACAACATGGACAAGCTATGATAAGTGAAGTGCATCTCAGCTATCTAAATACTGAGGTTCACCAGATGTGATAAGCGTTGTACAAGATAAATTGCTACTTTGGCATTCAGAACTTAGTATAAATAGAATAACTCTTGTCTTCATCAATAAATCTTTAGTTTTTGTGTCTGATCTTATTCAAATAAGTCTTTTCTTGTTTTTATAATATTGAACATTTTTTATAAGCTACAAATAATAATCCTTTTATTCTTTGTGCTTAACACCTTTATCTGGAGCGTCTAAAAATTCTTTTTTTTGATATTTTTGTACTCAATAAGGCAAATTTATTGCACATTCTTTCCTTGTATCGATTCGTCTTGTTGTGGGCTATCATATCGTCTATTTACAGCATTATTCTATTGGCAAAACTAATTCTTATCGCGTCAAAACAGGATTTTTGGGATGCTATTTTTGCATCAATGGTGATTAAAGTCAGGCTCTTTTTGAACTCCGACTAATCCGGCTTGGTAGAGTCCTTGTTTTTGAAGATGTATTGTGCCTCGAAATACTTATAAGAATGGGTTTTTTGGCATGGAAATCTCTTTTAAGATGTCAAAGTATTTTTGTACAAAAATTTTGAGCTAAAAATATGCATGATTGAGGTATTTGTAAGCATTCGAAAATAAGCAATTTTCTCCGCCTATTTGCTTCAATACCTGATAATTTTGCGTATTTGAATGCTAATGGCATTTGCACCGCTAGTGGGTGTATGAACTCTTCCTATTTATGCCTACATCATGAGCAGTGATCAGTCGATGGATCTATTTAACCTGTGAAAGCACAATGATGAAATTGCTAGTACAAATTAATTCACAAAAAAAAATAAGCAATCATGAAACCAAACACCTGGAGTAAATAAATTCATTATACAAGCGCATCATTTACCAAAATTGTATAGCGTTCTGGTTGTAGTGCCATCCTTGTATCACTCCTGCTGCAATAAAATATTCCATCCATGAATTTCTTTCCGTTATTTACAACCATCTGAAACCTGTCAGTTTATCACAAGTTGAACAATCAAACGTTGTCGTAGAAAGTTTGATAGATCAATAGTAATCATCCAAAAAAAACAGCAGCGAATGCTTCTTTCAGTGGCTTCAACCTCGTACAAGAATGTAGCTTTAAATATAATCTATTTTGTATATACGATATAAACATTGATAATTGCATCATCTGATATTACTATTGTCTAAATCATTTTGATTTTGTTGCATCTGTGTAAACTACTATTGGCATAGCCATGCTGCATGTATCAGCAAAAGTGTTTTTCGCAACATTTAGAATCGATCTTCCGTTGTTTTCTAAGCTTTGTGTATTTTCGTCGTGTCACTTAATGCTCGCGATTGATAATTTATGCTATATGCTAGAGAGTGGCCCATGTTAGCCTCCATTTTCTGGTCGCATTGAATTGTCAACCAACAGTTTTATACATTGTGTAAATGTCGCGGTAATGGAAATCCTATGTTCCTTCTTCAGGTTTACCATCGCTTCCATATGTATACGTGTTGTTGATAGCCGGCCATCTTCAGCTGCTACCATACGCATCAACTTTGCCAAAATAATGGATGTTTGTTTGTATAGAACATGTCGAAAATGACAAACAGAAATTGTATCAAAACGCTTCGACAAATTACAATGCTTAAGAACTTACCGGCCCCAAAAAGCTGTAGCAGCATCCTTTTGCTTTGATCAGCATAGTGACACATAGAGGGCAGAAGAAATACATTTAGATAGAAATGATTAATACAGTGTCTAAGTGTTTGCGGCATGCAAATCCGGAGTGATGTGTTTACTTTGTCATGAGATTCGACCTGCTTGATATAGTGAACGACACAAGTGCTGTTCATTATTATCACGTTTTATTGACTACAGAAATGGCACATGCGCCTTTTACAAATAATGTTTGCTGTAGAGATCTCACCACTCAAATATATATATATAATGGTGACACCTACCTACGGTTTCAATATAAGCGCAATATTAGAGCAACAGAACGAAGAATATGTCAATTTCATGGTGCAATGTCTATTTCGTAGATATTTCAACAATACTAATCCGAACTGAGCAGTCAAAGTTCATATACTGCAAATCCATCAAACATACGATCTCCACAACCAATTCTCTGACTCCCAACTGCGCATTGAATACTTGTTGTCTGCTTTCAGCACTATCATCTCCTATTTGGCAAAATATCGGGCAGCAGGGTCACTTTGCCTAACTGTAATTCATCCATGGTAACGAGTGTAAAAGACGTTGACCTGACTCCAGTATATACACTGCAGTACAGTCAGTAATCATGCTTTGGACATTAAATAAGGCCATTTTACGATTTGGCGAATATTCTCATAGAGGCAGTCAATGTATGATGCACTAATACATATGCACTGGAAACAATAGAGCTTGAGATAATTTCATCAATCCATACAATGGGCATATTTACTGACAGGTTCATTCTACGTTCATGGTCGTACTAGAAATGGAAGCTATATTCTTACTAATAGAGCAAACTCGTTCTCGGCTAGAGATGTACCTACGCAACAAATCAAGTTGATTAGCACAAGTGATACTAGAGACAATCCTTCAAATGCGCATGTCGTCGAAGCCATTATCAATCACAAAGGTAGTGCACCCAATTACAAGTACTTGGTAAAATGGAAAGGTTATAATGGTATATATATATTTATAGCTAGCATAGACAAGAGAATGATCGATTATGTGCAATGTGGTTGTGTTTGGATGAGGATGATGATAAATAGCAAGTAATGTTGAACAAAGAAAAGGCAATCAGTCAGAGGCGCTGTCGATAATGCTTGATTTGCTTTTATCAACATTGGATTCGTCAATATTGAATTCGCTCTCATTGTCGCTGTCATTATAGGGAGATGACGTTACACGCTCTTCTGTAATGCTGTTGTACCAATGACCTTGATAAAATGTCCAACCGTTTTCATCAAATTTGCAGCCTTTGTACGTCGAGTCATTTGCTTTACGTTCTTCGTACGACACGGAGAGCAACCTGTCTAGGATAGATGATGGGGGAGGAGCGACACCGAAAATGCAAGTAGGCATAATAGGAGCAGTGTTTCTTGGGGGTGTATAGTATGAGTCTCTGATCCAACAAATTCTGGGGTCTATTTCCTCATTGGTTCCAGCTCTACCCAAAGCAGTGCCCACAGAATGCTTTTGATTCAATGTCTCTTGGACGACATCAGCAATGGAATACATAGACTGACGAAATGTCAATAGCTTGGCCAAGATGTCCGGAAAAAGGTCCAATTCAGACAATGATGCTGGTAACACAAATTGGTATTGAGGAACAACCACGTACAAGCCGTTGGCATCAAGATGAATCGAACTGACAAAGCACGAGGAGCCTCCAATTTGAAACGTCCAACCAGAGCTGACAGTTGACTTTGATTGTGGGATGATTGTGACCAAATTATCCAAGATGTCCTTGGCCTCTCTGTTGAGTTTACCTTCATCATCTATGATCTTTTCGTCACCATCATTTCTGGCCAATTCCGCAGCGCACAAGTCAATGTCGATATTGCTATGCTTGACCAGGAACCGAATGTCTATTTTAAAACCGACTATGTTGGATGAGCCCGTATACAATTGAGATTTGTTCCATGCGGTGTAGTCAGAAGTGGTTTCTCCTCTAGTAAAACGCTATTGTTGATATTGGATCATTCCAAATTACTTGATGTTACTTACGTTTTGATTTTGATTTTCTCCTTGCTTGGGAAGAGAAGGTTGAAGAAACGAGACCAGATAAACGACAGATAATCATTTTCAGAGTAATCATTCTTTCCCAGTAGCATGTCAGCACGGGCATCAACCAATTCCAACCTACTCAAGAATGAATAAGTGTTCACAGTAGCAGTTTTGTGTCACTTGAACTTACATGTGTTCACAAATCTTCAGCAGATAGAAATATGGCTTCTTCATATGCTTTGGGTAAATTTGGTAAAGATACTTGAGTCCAGCTTCAGTATCTCTTGACTTTTTTATCAGCTAAAATAGCCTTAGTATGCATCCATAGCAAGAAAAAGACGCATAGTTACCGCACAAACAATTCTCCAAGTAGACAACACAATACCAGGCACTTCAATGAGGGAAACGCTGTACTTTTGGGTGTACATGGATTCAAGTTTACACCAAACTGAATGATCGAATAATGCTTTTTGTGATGTCTCTGTGATATCCGCTACGTCCAAGATGCTAGAGAGCCCATTCCTAACGATTGCATGGTTAATTTCAGCAAAATAAAGCTACACATTTGATACCAACGTCATTATTTTATATTTGCGCGAGTCTGTGGGCGTGCCTTTCTTGAAAAGCTTGATTGCTTCCCTCTTTATTATTGTACCAACGGAAGGTCCATCTCCAATTTTGATATTATCTGCTTCTTCCTAAAACATACAATATATTTGGTTTCTTGTACAGAATGCTTCCAGAATCCACTTACCATTTCGTCTAATTTAGCCTTGGAACGTGTTGATCTCTTTGGCAATTGGTCTTCATCACGATGGCTTTGCTCGAGCTTTCTCTTTGATCCAACGTCTAAGAATAGGCTAAGTTGCGAGTTGAGTGTTTTTCCCAAATTCAAAACACAAACCTGGATTTCGAGCCAAGCCAAAGACGTCCACTGCTGTCTTGTTGATTACTTTTCTTGTTGTATTCTCTGTTTCAGCCTATTTACAACGAGTGAGTGATAAAAGTCTTAGCAGCATATCATCATTCATCACATACCTGAATTGCTTCTCTCTTTAAATGCTCACTGTAAAGTTTTGCTGCCGTTGTTTTCCAGAACTCCTTGTTTATCTTGTCGTTGCCGATATTCTAAGCTAGGTCAGAGACTCGTATCGAATATCAATTTGTTCGCAATTACCTTCAGTTTCTTCTCCATTCTCTTCAAACTCTTTGTCTTATCCTTATCATCAGGAAACGTTTTTATCAGTAAAGATATATCATTAGACAGGCATTTATGGCAAGTTTGTTTGTTGGTGATGCGCGCCTTGCATGAAGAAAGGTCGTAAGCCGTGATATCGTAGGCGCTAGGAACAATTGACGTCCAGTAATCTGAGCAACTATCAGTTATAATATATGTATAAATCGCCACGTATTAAGCCCTACCAAAATTGCTCAGTTTATCTTGGAGACCTTCCATTTTGATAGTATTCGATCTTGTACTGCTGCTTGTATTGAGATCAGCCAATATTGATAAAATAGGTCGGTGTTTAGAAATACTGTTTGTCCGGACTTATACCACCTCCGGTCGATGACGGAAGCAAGGAAATAGTGCTCAAATTTCCACAAACTGTTCTTTTCTTTTCATTCTTTTATTGTCATTGCAATATTCACCTGCGCTACGGCGAGAAATTCCAATGTCTACCAGTATATTGATATGCTGCTTTCATGGAGTGGTAGTGTATAGAACATATTGCCTCTTCGTTTGAAGATGCACTTGTTACGCACGCTATTGCACATCAATTTAGTGGCTGCTAGGAAACACCAGGCAATATTCACCTGCGCTGCGGCGAGAAATTCCAATGTCTACCAGTATATTGATATGCTGCTTTCATGGAGTGGTAGTGTATAGAACATATTGCATCTTTGCTTGAAGGTGCGCTTGTTACGCACGTTATTGCACATTGAATCGAAGTGGCAGCCGCTTTACTAGATAAGTACCTGTAGATTTGGTTATTGATTTGAAACTTATTGTCCGTAATTTAGGTCAGGATGCAATTCAACTTTCAATTTCTCGTGCTTTTCCTTCTTTGCCATTTCGAACTGATTCGACATTGGATAAAAGATAACATAATGTTAGGATTACCTTTATGTTTGGGACCTTTTTATGGTATTTGTATTTGGCCAGCATGATCCCTTTTAGCTCGATTGACTTTCCATGCCAGACAATACCGCTTTATGTATTTCTTGTCTAAGATATTGATTCTTGGGCGTGGTAAACGGGCCAATATTGCCTTTTCGCTCTACTGTCTTTTTGTGTATTCTCACTTTGTCAGTATGCTTGGTTTTGCCACCAGTTAATGATCTTGTTTCCATGTAAACTGGGCAGCTCTTATTCAATTCTACCAATTGCAATTCACCGATGCCACACCCATCATAGGCAGTACTTGTTCAGATGTATCAATATTGCAACATGCAGTGGTTCATCAAAGTACGTTCACAATGCTGCAATTTGGCCACTTGAAGGGAGCCTTATTAAATACATGTACAAGCGTGCAATAGTTTATTTAAAGGGTGTCAAGGTGCAATAAAACATTACAACTTGGGGCTACCACTGCTAGTATTGTTCATTTCAATAACCAATTTGCCAAATTGATCACCATTGCTCATCATGGCAATGGCTTGATCGATGGATTTACTGTTCAATCCATTCCAGACATGTGACACAACTGGCTTAATCTTGTAATGATCGACAAACCTGACCATGTCTCTGAATTCCTTTCTAGAGCCCATGGTGGATCCTCTCACGTCAATATTCTTCAACACGTGTGCCATTGAGAAGCCTACTCCCTTTACGCTGGCTGTTTGACCGTAGTTGGCAATGATGCCACCTGTTCTCATCAGCTTGGGATAACTGTTATACAGAGGTCCACCAGCACCATCAATGACAGCAGACAGTTGGTTATTGCCCAACAGCTTTTTCAAATCAGCAATGCAATTTTCATCCTTGTAATTGACGCCACCTTTGGCGCCCAATTCAATAGCTTTCTTGATCTTTTCAGGGCTGGAAGATGTGACATAGACATGAGCACCTACTGCCACTGCAAACTGAAGAGCAGCCAATGCGACACCACCACCAATACCAGTAACCAAGACATGCTCATCCTTCTTGACCAGTGCCTTTGTGAATACAGCTCTATTCTGCTTGGTTAATACCGCCATCATCAATGCATTTTACATCCAAATCAATGTACCTGTATGCTGTCAAACCAGCCAATGGCAATGCAGCTGCTTCAGCAGTAGAAAGATGTTGAGGACATGCTATCAATTCCTCTTGATCCATCGCAACAGGCTCCTCTGTCAATGTACCAGCAAATGGCAGTAAGCCCAGAATACCAAACACATGCTCTGGTCCTCTCTCATCGGAAATCCATCCGCATCCAGGGTTCAAAAGAACGCGCTGACCAACGGGTAGTTCATTTGTGCCGTTTTTTGTGATGTATGCAACAGCATCTGATCCAATGACAGACCCCATTTTGATACCAGGATACATGCCTTTGAGAATCCAAACATCTCTGTATAGATAGCATTAGCTGCTGCAGGTGATTCATGCCACTAGAAGTCTCCATGCCAACCTGTGATTTAAAGCAGCCGCTTGAATCTTTACGAGGGCTTGATTTGAAGCTGGCTCAGCGAAAGCATGTTCTTTCAATTCAAATCCATACTTGAATTTTGTTTCAGTTGTAGCATTCTCGGATAAGATGACAGATACCATGATTGTTTTACTAGTATGTAAAGAGAAAGAAAAAGACGCTGTGAGCTCCTTTCTTTTTATATGCTACTTTTTGAATTAGTCAGCGTAATGACATACTTTTTTCGCACACTTCTGCGTTTCAATCCATCACGCTTAAACAAAACGATCCATAACATTTAGCCATTTTCTTTTATTGTCGTGAAATCTAATTTCTCTCTCTTAGGGGGAAGCTGAAGGAGGGGGTGGAGGTGGAGGAGGTAATTGTGCGTCTGATGGAGGAGGTGGAGGTGGTGGTTGTGCTGTTGATGAGCTAGAAGCTGGTGGGGGAGGTGGTGGGGGCAAAGCATCGCTCGCGGATGAAGGTGGAGGAGGCGAGGCGTCAGTTGATGTAGTTGCAGCAGCAGGAGGAGGATAGCCATAGTAGCTATAATAGGCATTGGCATCGTATTGTTGATAGGCTCCTGGCTGTTGGCTATAGTAGCTATTGTAGTAATTGTTATAGGCTTCGTAGTCATAGCCGGTTGCTGTTGCTGCTGCTGGATCAGATGGTGCTGCTGACTGATTGTAACTACTGTAATGGCTATTGTACTGTTTAAAAAAAAAGTTAATCGAGACAAAAAATGAGAGTTTTCAATAGTTAGTATCCCTTGTTTTTTTTTCGCTGTTTCTGCTTTTTGTCTCTCCCATTCATTGCAATGCCACAACGCTGATATGACTTGAAATACTTACTCCATTGTTATATCCGCCGCGACTCGAGTTGTATCCGCCACCTCGATTGTAGCCATAGTGACTTGGTGGTCCTCTCTCTGCTTCTGCCTTGACAGTGTCCAGCAAGTCTTGTGTCAATTTAACGCCTGCTTCCAATGAATCTTCTCTTGCAGATCTATAACAGCATGTCAATATCAATGCAATTCCTCCCCACTGTTCATTTGATACATACGAGACGTGAATATGCAATGGCTCTTCAGACTCCACGCCAGTACTGGACTCGTAGAAACCAGATCCCTTGCCCTTCAACTGCACTCTACAGCCAGTTTCTTGCTGAATATGCTTGACAAAAGCACCATTGGGGCCGACAATCTTTGCACGAAGATTGAAATGAGGTGTTCCAGTAACTTCAACAGGCAATCTCTTTTCGTAAAACTTTCTCTCGGGTCTCTTTATCTCTGGTCTGTCTTCTCTGGGCGGATAACCGCTACCAGGCACTGGTACCTGAGCTGTTTCAATCAACTCTTCAATCTTTGCTACAGCTTTGTCCAGTGATTTCTTGTCGGGAGCAGTGATGTGTAAATAAAGAGGAGGCTCTCTATCTGAAGCCAACTGAACATCTGGATAGTATTTTCCACGCGTAATCACATCTACAGTGGTATTTGTTAGTCTCACTCAATATAAAAGTGCCACAAAAAGCTACCTGCTCCTGTTTCTTGCTGGATTTGTTGTTGAGTAGCTCCTCTGGTCAGCATATATCGATTTTTGAGGTCGTTGATAGGAATGTCCTTGACAAATTCGCCTGCCTGCTCAGCACCTGCTTCTCCATCTTCATGAAGAGGAATGCCCTTTTGAGCCAGCATGGCATTGATTCTAGCTGCTGCTTCGCCTAGTGTATATATTATAAGTAAGAGAGAAGACGCCATCCACTTATTTGCTGTACTTACTCACTGCTTTGCTAGGATCAGCCTCCACCTTTGTGATTTTGGAGGAAGGACTCGCATCGCCATGATCGTCTTGATCCCACTTTCTCTTCCTATGTTTGTGTGAGCCGTCTGCTTGAATTCCATTTAACACATGCTACTTACTTGGCTGCTTCTGACATGATGAATCGTGAAAGAACAAGAGAGGGAAAAAAAAAGTTTTTTTTTTTTTTCTGTGTTATTTAAATACACAACAAAAGCATCGGAAATGAACCCCCTACCAACACCCGAGCATATACCATCAATCAGTAGTGCAAAATGTATCATGTTTATTAGGACACAGTCTATTATATTATATCTAGGGTGCACTACTTTTCGTCTTCATCCTCACTCTCCAAGCCAGCTTCTTCGTCTTCCATATCATCATTCTCTAATGAACGCTCAATCAAAGGCTTGATCAAACGATCAAAATAAGGATGAGGGCCCTGAGGATTGGATCGCTTCACTTGATCAAAGTAGTGCACATACACATTGCCATCAGCACGACCCAATGGGCTGTTGACCATGTAATCGCTCAAATTGAAAGAATCAACCAGTGGGATAGCTTGATCTCTGACAGCAGCACAAAGCTCATTTGTCTTGAGTCGAATGTACTCCATTTGCTTGGGCGAAAAGTACTCATACTGCAAGAATGCGCCTGCATTTTCTTCCACAGTGTAGAAGCCATACAGGAGACACACATCCATCAGAACAGACTTCAGGCTGCCTTCGACCTTGGAGACACCATCCACAAATCTGTTGAACAAGTAGCCGTAGGAGTGCAATTTGGCAGCGTACAATCTAGATTGAGAACACTGCTCATAAGCATCGTCTGTATCCAGACCACGATCAATGCAATCTTGGAACTCGAGTGCTGCATTACGGACAACATGAGCACACACGACTTGCCAGCCTTCAATGATGACTGCAGGATCTACTAGAGATTTGTTATTGGAAACACCGCAGCGTTTCCCAATAAGCTTATCCAGATTGTTCAAATAGCCTACACCAGGAGAGAGCTTCTTGCCAGAGAGAGCTTCACGGTAGCTGCTGATCAAGTATCGACCCAACTGCAGAGTCAAGATGGTATTGTCGCCTTCCCAAGTGCATTGAACAGCGAAGTCTTGGTACATGCCAGCTAAGCCAGTGTAGGCAGAGTAACCATGGCCACCACAGGCTTGACGGCAGGCTTCAATGGTGCTCAAACAGTTCCAGGTACAGAATGCCTTTAAACCAGCACTGGTAGAATGCGTCTCTTTCAACATCTCCAAGACTTCGGCAAGATCAGAATCGCCCGCCTTTGCATTCTCCAAACGGCCCATCATTTTATTGTACATGGTGGTCATTTCATTGCCAGTGAAGAGCATGGCAAAGGTTTGTGCCATCAGAGGCATCAGACGTCGTTGGTGAATAGGATAGTCAAGCAACTTGGTCTCAATATCTGACTTCGAGTTGGAGAACTGGCGTCGCACGGCAGCATAACGGATAGCAATAGTGAGTGCCTTTTTTGAGACGTTTCCGCTGTCAACCACCATGGCAACACGGCCTTGCAAGAGAGCGCCATATGTGAGTTGCTGCAACTTGGGCTCCTTGACATGACCAGAACGAGACACTTGAGCATGTTTCATCAGCATGTAGCCACGAGGAATGCGCACATTGGTAAACTGTATATAGCCATTATCAATACCATCGCGGCCCATCTTCTTGCCCAGATCGCCAATGTTAATACCAGGAAGAGTGTTGTAGGTCTTGGGGTCTCTGAGAGGGACAATAAAGCACTTTGTACCGTAGTTTTTACCCTTGACAATGAGCTGAGCAAAGACGGCAGAATGCGTAGCACTGTGAGCAGCACCACCAATCCACCATTTGGTAGCAGTGACAGTAGGTGTGTGGATAATAAACTGATCTGCAGCCTCATCAAAGGTAGCCGTGGTCTCCAGTCCAGGCACATTGGAACCATGACCAAGCTCTGTCATGGCAAAGCATCCGACCATCCCAGACAGTGATAAAGCGCCTTTCTGGAACCAGTATCCCAACTGGCCCGAAGTAGCATTGCTCTGCAAAGCACCCACAAACAGACCATCTATCACGGAAAATGAGTGCTCTATCGCCATGACTCTATATCATTTGCCAGACTTACAATGAACACCGAATCGAGTCCAGAATCCGGGATCAATCAGGCTGACAATCTCCATTCTCTTTTTAAAGATATCAATGCTTTCATTTGACAAGTGGTGTACCAAACTACGAAACTAGAGAGGCATGTTGAGCTGTCTTGTCTTGGTATGTACGTATAGTAATGAGTACCTTTTCCATGGTTCTTTCACGGAGCTGCTCCTTGGAAATATCATGAATGTCATCCATTTTGAACAGAGGATCTCTTTCAAATTCTTGCATAAAGCGCTCTTTAAGCTGATCATGTCGTTTAGCAATCATGGGCCATGTGGCGTATCCTCTTCTCAACTTACCAAAGTCGACTTTTCGCCACCATCCAATAGATAGGTCAACTCACGGATATTGAAGGCAGCCTTTGCACGCTCCTCGTTCATGCTGGCCACTGGGCTGTAATCAGCAAATGGTGTGAATCACTGTGTCATGTACAAGGAGATAGATGCAACTTACTCTACAGCCTGAGCACGCTTTTGTTGAGGAGACAAGTGCTGCTGAATGGCATTGGCTCGCTTGTTGGCAGTGGACATGATTTGTAATTTAAAAAATGGTAACAATAATGAAAAAAAAAAGATAAGAGCCACATAATGTGCTTTTTTTTTTGTTTGTTTATATAGACATCCATCTTTTCTAACTGTGTGTCACATTGGCTTGATAGATCGCTTTCACATGCTTATTGTATTCAAAGAGTCTTGCTTCTCATGTGAACAAATCTATGATGATATTACCCCGCATTTTCATATGCCACATGTAGTTGCACAAGGAAACATTTAAGATGAGAAATTGTAGTAACAGTGTGATAAACAAAGTCCCTGGGCTATTACAGGATACAACCAATACTGGAACTGAACCTTCCTTTTGATGTGATGATAATGGAACTGATTGTTGAGGTCCTATGAATGCTTTAAAAGTGAAAGAATCCGAGTTAAAACTTGCTGGGTTGCTCCATGTAATCAACATTTTAGATGCTAAGAGCTCGGTTTCGCAGTTTGGAGGTGCTTCATGGAGCAAGGCGATTCAGATTGTCTATGATCTTATCTCTATATAGCTAGATGATTGCCATGAGCAAATCAGAGCGTTTATCCTTCTTTTCAAATGCTTGGGTGAGTTGGGCTGCCGGCATATGCATTCTGTAAGTGAAAAGAGAGTTCTTCATATCACAAATACCGTACACCATAGGGTCAGAGACACCGATTTGGAGCTCTGATATCTTGAACATCCTTGAGTACGACTTTGAGTAGTGGGCGAATAAGTCGGTATAAGTATTTGTCTTTACTCAATGATGTTTTGTTCCCCCCCCCCCTCGACCCATGCGAGAACGTAATCCAGGCGCTCATCAATTTGTTGTACTAGTCTCCGGTCTTCATCACATACACCGATGTAGACGACTTGTGTATAGTCGCATTCATTGGCGTTTTTGTTTCATACTTGTGGATCGCTTGCCGTGTTCAGGCTTGAAAAACCTACCATCTGGGTAAACATGATACTTTGTTCGTTTCGTTGTTCGTAAAAAAAAAAATAGAATCACATAAAATTGAATTACGCTGTAGAACAATCCAACTTTTGAGTGAGAATCTGACATTAGACGTTATAGGGAAGTATACTATATATCAATGTTAAAAGTGATATAACACTTGGTCTTTATCACTTACTCCACTTTAAAGATTTCAATAATGCCTTTTCTTAGTGTTTCATTGCCTGATATCAACTGCTCCTTGGATTTACTTCTTGGCCTCTTTGAGTGTTTGCTTCAGATTCAAGTTTGGCTACCAATCAAGTAAGTCTTAACCAAAATATACATTCATTATTAAATCAGAACTACATAGTCTTCAAATATTTGGTGTGCCATCCTTGTAATCTCCTTATTGGCGTTTTCTGATAAAGTCAAGCCTTCTTCATGCTGCTGTTAGCCAACTGCTCTGCTTCTGCCTTGACAAATCGAGCGTAATCATTACTAGTACAAATCATGTCCCCCCCTCCCGAATCCTTGTTTTTTTGAGACAAAATCAAGGATATCACAAGGGCAAATCGATCTGATGCTAAAAAGCCTGTTTTTGGTGCTAGAAACAGGACTCTTTGATGTTGTTATGTGCAGATATAGCGCTTACAGCAAGACAGCGGAAGGCTGTTTCTTGTTTTTTGATGATAAAATGCTGGCTTGTATTAATCAGAAGAAAGAAAAGAAGCAGCTGATCCCATCAGCACATTGACCTTCTTTTATATGTTCTGGATATGAACCAAAGAGAAATACGATCGAGAGGATAGCTCTAAGAAAAATACTCAATCACCTATCAAATCTGCTGATATCATACTAGTAAACTGATATTTGGCCTTTCAGTTTTCTAATATTGCATCAAAGCACTCTATATACAATTTTTAACTACAAAACTAACTTATTTAGTATGCTCCATGTCTGCGTCAATGGATACAAGCAGTATATGGGCAGATAACATACTAGCATTACTTTTTACCATCCAAAAGTATGTAAAATACAGTAAAATTAAGATGCACTTGAGCCGTCTTTTCTCGTGTTTGATACCGTTCTGAGCCACCAGAATAACGCCAAACAATTGTACTCGAGTAGCAGTAACTTCCTGGCACCTTTGCCCAATTTTTTGAAGACCCAAAAACCATGGCCAAAAATCGACCAAAAACCATGAGGGGTACCTCATGGTTTTCATCAAAAATCAAATGATCGCATTTCTCGCCTCGAAAATGAAGACTTTTACTATGGTATATATTGAAAAAAAATGTTTCTCTCGATCCAAAGCACCTTCTGAAACCACTTTTATGAGGTTTTCATATACAAAACATGGCTATTTTCGCTAAAGACCTTATTTCAAATTTTATAAAATGGCTCAGTAACTTCAGTCAAAACACTTATTACAGTTAACACCATTGAAAGCGCCTTGAAAAGTGCTTCAAGAATGTATTAGGAAGCGTAAGGTGGTCATCACAGTTTATATAGTCGAATGCCATGAAAGAGATTAAAGAAGTCGAAAAAAGACAATATCTGTCCAATCTGAGTAGAAAAAAGATGAACTGAGTTTCAATTGATTTTAGCAGCGGGCGGCGCTACTGCTGGCTAGCCCAAATGCCTTTCTGATAACCATCAAGCTGTTCATTTTTTTTATTGATTGAGCCGCGTAAACTAAGAGTAATAGGCCAGAGTGAAGAGGCGGATGCAATTGAGATAAAGACATAAGAAAAAATATAAAATACTACACTAAAATTGAACTATCTAGACTACCTAACTACAAGAGGGTGTGGATTTGATCCTCATCCACTGTCTGGCGAATAGTGAAGCGGATTTTAACCACAATCGCCTCAGGGACAAGGTTGATGTTGTCAAACACAAAGCGCATATGGGCAAGCCATATTTGAGAGAGAGAGTAATGAGAAGGATCCTGTATGGACGAATTCCTTTAACTTGGCAATACTAAATATTTGAAAAGTCCAGAGACAGAAGAGCTTCTTTGATGTCAGTGATGGAGGCGGTTAGCCATAAACATTCAAAGATGGCTCCTTGCCATACTTTTTCTTTGGATGGGCAATCAAAAAGTAGATGGCTAGCAGATTCATTTGAATACAAACAGATTGGACAATGGGAAGAGTCGAAAACTACAGGCATCAGGTAATGCAGTCTACTATGCGTGGAAATACTAGGTCTTAGTAACATTCACCTAGAATCACGAAGCTGCATGGAAGCATCCATGGCTGCTATATTCTTCTCAACGTTGTAATTTGGTTCTACTCCATTATATAGCGATAGCAACGAATTGATTTTTGCGCAATACTATTTGGTGTTTATCCAGGTAAGTTTACACATTCACTGAAATCAAGCCACTCGCGCGTTTCTAATAGATATATGTACATGCTCAAATGAGCACGCGAATATCCTCTACTGATGTAGTCTTCAGTTGGTCTTGTGGAAATACATCTAGTAATTTTCCCTCTGTGGGCTTGGTTTGACTTTCGGGTGAAACCAAGCAGTGGGTGCACTTGTGCTAGTCATGTCGTCTTTTCGCCATGGAGATGTTAGTCTGTGCAAGTACAACATCTAAGCACAAACATCAACACCTTGCTCCCCGAAATAATTCTTTCGGAAAAGGACTAGTAATGCGTGGTCTCGTGTACATGATATGTATTGATAGTGATGCTCTGGCACAATGGTGGGTTTGCCAGGATATGGGGGGGGGAAGCTTTCAAGAGGATTGAACATTTCTGCATTTTAGCGTCGAGCCCTTAAATCTAATAGAGTTTCCTAAATCTTTAAATTCAAGTGTATCAGATGCTCAATAAAGGTAAGGTTGTCGACTAAACTTGAATCAACAAAGCCGCCTGTAATTTACTAACCTTGCTCAAGACGCTTGATCTATCATATTACGCTCTTTGAACAAGTACGGCCTGGATGATAACGTATCCTTGAAAAGTAAACAAAAAGGCGCTAATCAATCCACCCTTTGCGTAAAAACTGGAATGATCTTATCCAGAAGAGAATTGGGAGATTTCATACATGGCACATACTATCAAGCCTACATCCTATTGACCATTCGTCATCAGGAAAAGAATGTCAAAATTGATTGGACCCCACAAGGCCTTTCTCGAGTGTCTATCAAAAGAAGGTGAGATCTTATGCCTGCAATTTGAGGCCAAGTGATGCCTCATAACCTGAGTAATAGTTGTTGGTAAAGCGCCATGAAGAAACAATGAAAGCAAGCTCATTTAGTAACCACTTTGAACTTGACCACTTCATGGCGATATTACATGGCACAAGCCAATGTTCAAATGCTGTCAATTTGAGTGATTGCCCAACCTATTAACGTTTGGTTGCCCACCTTATTTAGAATGTATTTGCCAAAACGCCATGCCTATCTGTATCAAGGCAACTTGTCATTCACATAACCCACATTGCCGTAACAATAAAAGTAGACTTGTATTCGACATAACAGTGAAGCTGCCCAATTCGATTTTATTCAAAAATGATGACTTTGGCAACTGAAATATGCTCATTCCATACAACTCTTTCTACACGCGAGGCTAATTGCCCATCAACATAGACAGAAGGCAGATCACTGTTATTGGATTCCAGCTTGAGATAGATTCTGTTCTTTTTTGACATGTGTGGTTTTCTGAGAGTGATATGTACAACGCCTTGATCGTCCTCTGTCAGATGCTCAATCTCTGATCCAGGCACAATATGACCCGTGGAGCCCATAAACTTGTCGTTCTTTGCTGCAATCTTCATGAATACTCTGGTTTCGTGCGATTTGAGGAAAATGTGCGATTGAGATGGCAACCAATCCACACGAGATCCGCTGATCAAGACATTGCTTCGTTCGAAAAAGTAATCATAGTTGCCATGATCGCCAAGGGGTAATTGGGCCGTAACTGGAAGTGGCGACAAGTTGGTGATAAAGGTGTATTCTCGACCATAGCACTCGTACGTTGCTTGATACACGTCGTTGCCAGCAGGGACCACATCAAGCACCTTGGCTTCAGGCTTGGGGAATATGGAACTGTATAGTTTGTGCTCTTGCTTGTCGTAAACATTTACATTATCTGACATCAGTGTCAGTTGTCCAAATACGATATTGATAGTCAATAGTGTGTGTTTCTCCTCCTTGGTCAACTTGTTGTTGTTTGATCTGACGAAAAAAACATCGGGATCACTACCAAACACGGTGGACCCCATGGCCCATCGGTTCAGAGTGGACGTTATCGCATTGTTTGTAGCCACCCGTTCACGCACATTGGCAAGACGCAATACAGAGTGATCCCACCATGGCGAAGCATCGCTGCTCACACGAGAATACTCGAATCTGCCCCACGTAGACGGTAGTGTCACACCAGACGCCAGCAGCAAGGCTCTCTTGTGTGTCCACTTGACAATCAAATCCATCGCATCCCACAGGATTTCACCGCGAGATTTACCAAGGCGAGGAATCATGGCTGCTGCAAAGATGAAATCCAGCTTTAGCAGTCGATAGCCCCATACGTCAATGACCTCGTCAAACACATGCTCCAGGTACTTGCACGCCTCTTCATTGTAAATGTCCATTGCATAAAATCCACCCCAGTTAGGACCCGCAACCACCAGTGAGCCGTCCGGATGCTTCAACAGCCAATCTGGATGCTGCTTGACAATCTTGCTCTTGAATCCCACAGCAAAAGGAGCCAACCAAATACCTGGTATATAACCTTGCTTCTTGATATCATCCGCGAGCACCTTCATGCCACGGGGAAACTTGACGGGATCCACATCCAGCCAATCACCAATCTGTTGCTCAAAGCCATCATCAATCTGAAAGACGTCAATGGGGTACTTGTGCTGTTTGAAAGCTATCAAGCTGGAAATCACATCGTCTTCTGTCACCCGCTCGTAAAAGTTGTACCAAGAAGACCAGCCTGTGAGATGGCGAGGATTGCGGAATTCATGCTTAGGGTCAAAGTGGTTCGCGTATTGCTCCCATATGGATCGCAGGTCTCGTGAGGCGTCTCTTTGCGCCACCAACAGCTCGATACGCAATGTCTCTTCCTTGTTGAGCTGTTTACCTTCAATGTCCTTGTATACGCTAAACCTGTTGTTGTTCAAATCTGCCTTGTAGTAGGTGTATCCCGACGACTCTGATAAGGACCCAAAAAAGACAATGTGGTTGGATTTCGTGTTGCGTAGATAAGTGTAGCCTGTTGAATGAATGTGTCCTGGCTGTCCAGAATAGTTGAAAAAGTCGTAGTCGCCCTGGAGATTGAACTGTGTGATCCAAGATACGACGCTGGGGATAGCAGACAGTCGACTGTGAGGACCCAGTTCCTTCGTAGTGCTCCAGCATTGGAAGCCCTCTGCCAGCATGACCAGCTGCTGCAAGTTCATCTCGTAATGTATCTCCAAATGCTGCATCACAACTGGATCTTCCAGAGGTGTAAACTCGTAGGCTACTCGATAGTTATCTGGGTCAAGCAACTCGACTGATTTCTCGACTTTAAGCTGGCCGATGGTGGCAGTAGTCTGCAGTGGCAGCGAGAGACTGGTGTCCACGCCATTCACGGTGTACTTGATGTCGACAACAGAAGGTGTTTCTAGAAGCAATGTGTCAAAGGGTGCTGACATGGCATAAATATATGGAATAAGAAAAAGAGAAAAGAAGAAGAAAATGAGACGCATGACACAAATGAAAAGAGAGTTCCAGATAACCAATCTGTCTATTTTTATTGCATTTGAAAACAGTAGTGTATCAAGACAACATGTGATTAAATCTTGAATCCACTGTGGATGGCAGCTACACCAAAGGTAAGATCCTCATAGCCTTTGCCAATGGTCTTGAATCCAGCATCACGGATGATTTGAGCAAACTCTTCTTGGGGAGGGAACTTGCGGATACTTTCCACCAGGTACTGGTATGAATCACGATCACCAGCAATGGCCTGGCCTAACGCAGGGATGATGTCGAACGAGTAAATGTCGTAGAATCTAGGCAGCCTATTAGACAACGACACTCTTTATCCACACAATATGCCAACTCACTTTCCAATGACGGGGTTGTCCACTCTGCTAAACTCAAGACACATGAAGCGTCCTCCCTTCTTCAGCACTCTGTGGGCCTCCTTGACCACCTTGTCAACATGTGTACAGTTACGAATACCAAAAGCAATGGTATAGACATCCACAGATTCATCAGGAATTTCATCCAAATGTTCAGCATTTTGGACCAGGAAACTGGCTTGATTGGCTAAATGCATCATGAAAACGGAGTGAGTGACAGATGACAACATATCCCACGTAAAAACCTACTGTGAGCATAAGGTGTCTTTTGGAATCTCTTTTCGCCTTCACCCAGCATGTGAGCATTGATATCCACTAATTTCACTGTGGCCGTGTTGTCATGGTGCACATTCTTGCAGTAGTCTAGAAACTTGAGTGCAATATCACCTACGCAACATGTCATTCAGCATCCTTGTTATATGGCAGCCAAGCCAGCAACTTACCAGTGCCACCAGCAACATCCAGTAGCTTTGTGCCGGGACCAGGTGCCATTGAGCGGATGAATTCGTCTTTCCAGATGCGATGGATGCCTAAACTCATGGCATCATTCATCACATCGTATTTGCTGGCCACATTGGCAAAGACGTTATGAACTAAATTGCAAAGATGAATTGGCCTACAATGCCTTTTCTACGCACATGTGCTCTATTACCAAGGGACTCTTTCTCTTCCTCTGCTACATCACGGAATCCAAAATGAGTGGTGTTTTGTTGATTTGGCTGTTGTTGCTCAAGACATTTGAAGCCTGTGGAAAACAGGGCACGACGAGCCATCAATGGAGATGGACGCATCAGCAGGCGACTATGGTTCAACATTAAGCGCGACATGGTAAAAAGTATATTTATGTAAACAAGATGCAATTGTAAAAATTGCAGGAAACCCCCTCCCCTTTGTATTCACTGGTGGTAGAGGCATGTAGTATTAGCACTCCGGGACCTGTCAATTTTGCTTTTTTATACCGTCACATGTAGTATACAAGAGAGCTTGATTTATTACAGTTAAATACGTTTGATTTTGACAGGCCTAGCAGGTGGCTTTCTCAGCAATCGCCACAGCATAACAGAAGTTGCCAACGAGAGAGAATACCATGTAATCAAGTAGTTCAAATGATGGTTGCGCACTTCCACAGTAGGCGATCTGCCAACGGGGATACCCTTTTCAATCAGAGCATATTCTCTGGATGGGGATAGATCTAGCATCAATAGACATTAGGCCACTTGCACACTCTGACATCGCTCTTCTGCTATTACAACATTACCTGATACTCGTTCAACCATGATGGGCTGGGTATTGAACATTTTGGCAATAGTATCCACATCGGCCCAGTACCATTGATTGCCTTTAATGTCATTATCTGGGGTAAATGTGTTGCGTTCTTCATTCACACGGATCAAACCAACGACTTCCACCTCGCCAGTCTCCAAACTCTCGGGACGAAGCTTCTGGTCCTTCTTGTCGGGCGAGATCCAGCCTCTCTTGACCAAGATTGTGGTGCCATTGTCTCTCTCAAAGGGTGTAATCACAAAATAGCCTGCATTGCCATCGCCTCTTGTTCTGGGACCCAGTAAAATCTCTTGGTCATGTCTGTAATGACCCTTGGCATATACTTTACGGTACTCGTATTCATCAAGTACGTTAGCACTATACACGTATTGAGTCAGTCAGTCTTGGTACAGCATGTGACTCGAGACTTACTTGATACGCTTGGGTAATGGGATGGCTTCTCTATGCAAACGATCTTCCAGTGTTTGAATGTAGTTTACTTTCCAACGAAGTCTCTGCACTTGCCAGCATCCCAGGTAAAAAGTGAAGAATGGAATAGTGCACAGCAACGCAGTGCCAACACCGAATTTTCGTTGTTTGGCTCTGTATGTCTCCTTGACAGTTGTTTCTGCTGCAGCGTCTGTTGTTTCTGTTGAAAAGAGACGTTTGGCTGCAACGAGCTTGTAGCTATTCTGACATCTTTGACGACCTGATGCGAGGCCCAACTGACCAATACGTCTCAGCATCCTATAATTAAAGCAAAAATGGAAAGAAATGCCTTTGTTTATGATTGCAAGCGCGGGGGTGCAATTAACAAAGTGAATTGCATAGCTGTGGAAATGTCAACGCATGGCTGTAAGGGCGGCTTAGTGACCGCTGAGTGTCTCTGCTTTTTTTTTTTTCATGAATATTTTTCAATGGAAACAAGTGATTTGAATCAGCTTAAACATTATACACAAGATGGCTGCCGAGAAGAAATTGTCAAAACGTGAAAAGAAGGCAGAAGCCTTCAAGAAAAGAGCAAAGAAGCCTCAATTCAGCGAGGAAATGGCTGTGCCTGCCTCTGATGAGATCCCCGAAACACCTGTTGTAGAACAAGAAGAGAAGAAGAAGAAGAAGAAGAAGGAGGAGGAGGAGCCTGTTGCTGCTGCTACTACTACTACTACTACTACTACTACTACCACTGCTGCTGCTGCTGCTGCTGCACCCAAACGTAAAGCTGGTGAATTGATTGACGTTCCAGTGGAAGGATCCACGGACGAACCCCACAAAAAGAAGAACAGAAGAAGCAAAAAGAGCTCCAATATGGAAGGTAGCCGATACATTGTCTTTGTAGGCAACTTGCCATACACTACAACCAAAGAAGACTTGGAGAAGCATTTTGAATCAGCAGGCGGTATCAAGTCAGTGCGCCTCTTAACAGACAAGGCAACTGGAAAGCCAAAAGGATTTGCATTCATGGAATTTGAAAACTCTAAAGATCTTAACAAAGCACTCGCCTTCCATCACACTTTCTTCAAGAAGAGACAAATCAATGTGGAATTGACAGCTGGTGGAGGAGGAAGCAAGAGTGATGCTCGTAAAGAGAAGCTTAAGCTCAAGAATGAAAGACTTGCAGAAGAAAGAGTAAGTTTGATCTGACATTACAAGATAGGGTCATCTAACGTTTCATGTTTGATAGACAAAGAAGCACGAGGAGATGAAAGGAAAGGTTGCTCCAGAATCATCTTATAAAATAGACATCCCCCAATAAACCACTTTTTTTAATGCATTGAAATACGAGACAAAGACTTGGTTACTATAGCGAGGTTTCGATAAATTTGGTTATGACTGGAGGAATGTGTGGTGGGATAAAATAGGATTTTTCTGTTGACATGAGCTATCGTTTGGCTGTGTGCGATAGTAAGTGTGTATTTCTGTATGCTACTTCTCTATGTCATGAAGTTTAGCCTCTTCCAGTGTACACAAAGTCCAAAGAAAGGGCAAATGATGCCTTCTGCATGACACTGACTATTTGCACTAAACACCCCATCAGAGCATTGGAATAAAATTTCAACTTCCGCTACCTCTACTGATATTTTCGTGTTTTTTGGCAGAAAAAAGCAACTTTAGACGCTCATAAGTACATCAAATCCATTGAAAAACTCACGCTCCAAAAATATGTATATGTCCAACGTTTTAGCTTTCTAATGGTGGTAATCATGTCTCTGCAACATGCGAATTGATAGCATACTTTGAATTTGAAATGGCTTGTCCAAAAAGAGGGCCAAAATCCTAGTTTGGTACGCATGATGATTAAAAGCCTACAAAAATTCGACGCAAACTATACAAATACAGTATCAAACTATTTCTTAGAGCTTAATGAGTCGTTTGATATAAATTTTGGCATGGTGCAATGGTGTTGGATACGATTTTCGTTTGTCTTTTTCTTTTTCCACGTTATAGCGCGCTTTGAATCTAGCTGACTATAGTACACGATTCAGATATTGGCAGAAACAACGAGTTGTTTCGCTCAAGTATGCTGTGTGCCCATTTCTGTGCATAGCAATCATCATCAATTCGCCTCAATTCAAAGTATCAAGAAGTTTGTCGGATGTCCAGTAGCACAGTGCATCCAATTAATGGCAGCAATGTGTATATGAAGGATGCAGGCAACAATACAGTGGTTTTCATCCACCAATTAACCTTAATTGATTGGGCATGATGAGACAGAGATCATTTCATCTCCAGGATAAGCTCCTTTGTACAACTGTGCTTAAAAGTATTGAAACGCCTGCAAATTACACTTTTGAGGGCTCCGTGCAAGCTTAATCGAAGCAGCATCATTGTTATAATCTGCAGGTGATACAGCACACTTGCAATCTCGTTTTCACTACTCTTTCATCCTATCTCGATTGACTAACAATTTAGTTCTGCTCGGATATCACTAATAAGAACGACTAGACTGCATTTAGAAGGAGAGTCGCATTTGTCACTTTCAAGCGGGCCACTTCGGTTCTTTGCAGAGAATTGTGTGGAGGCGCACATTCGGTCATACTCCACTAATCCAATCAGATGAAATCAGATAAAATGATTGGGTTAGAGTCACAGCCGACTGAAATAATCAGATTTTAGGAGCCCCCAGTTTATAAATTTTTTATTTTCTTTCTTTCTCTCCTCCTCTCAACAAACATTCATTTCTCTTATCATGTTGCGCACTACTTTCTCTGCACTTAACAAATCTACTCGTCTTATCCAGAAGCCTCTTTCTCTCTCTGGAGCTCGTTTCTATCATGAAAAGGTAAAGGAATAAGACAGCTGGCGTAGTCAATAAAAGCAATTGTTAAAATTTTCCAAAATAGGTTATTGATCACTATGAACGTCCTCGTAATGTTGGATCATTCCCCAAGACAGACACTGATGTAGGCACTGGTCTTGTTGGAGCTCCTGCTTGTGGTGATGTTATGAAGTTACAAATCAAGGTGGATGATGCTACCGGTAAAATTGTTGATGTCAAGTTCAAGACATTTGGCTGTGGTTCTGCCATTGCTTCTAGCAGTTTCATGACTGAGCGTGTTCGTGGTATGACACTTGAACAAGCTGGCCAGATCAAGAATACTGAAATTGCCAAGGAATTATGCTTACCTCCTGTCAAATTGCATTGTTCCAGTAAGTTGTGGTGTAGATGGGGATTTGTATGGAGATGATGACTAATATGGGCTTTTTTTTTTTTTTTTTTTTTTTAACAGTGCTGGCCGAAGATGCTATCAAGTCTGCCATCAAGGATTATAAAAAGAAGCGCAGTGCTCGAGCATAATTCAGCAAAAAGGACAATTTATTGATGTGAATCAGTTTTCGACATTGCAGTCTGCCACTTTTATTTATTATATCTCACACGCACAGCAACCTTTCTTTTTTTTCACATTTCTCTAAAATCCATATTCCCTCTCTTTTTTAAAGAAAACAGAAAAAAAAAAGTAACCCCTTTTTTATCAAATACACACTTCATAATTAATTCTACATTTTGTAAATAAATCTTTTTGGAATCATTTGTGAACATGAATGTCAAGTTTTGAGGGGTCAATTTTTTTTTTTTTTTTTTTTTTTAACACACTAAGGGATTCGGTCATTGAATATGACTAATAGTGGCAGCATCTAAACATACGGAAAAACGAAACGAACACACTCACACCCACAAACACACACACCCACAAACACACACAAAAGATAAGGTCCAGGTGAATGATTGGCGAAGCCTATTGACAGCCTTGTAAGAAATTGTTTAAAACCCAATTCTTGTTTAAATAATCAGTTTTGTGATCCCCTTCTTTTCTTCTTTCTTTTTTTTTATCATCTTTTTGTATTCATTATGCCAACCACTGTTTCCTCAAGAAGTCCAGAGGCTCTTCTCTGTAAGTCTGACAAACGAGCTTACAATATCAATGCCTAATGCATTCTATTTTAGCATTCACCACAAATACAGCGACATCATTATTGCCATGTTCATCTAAAAAGCTGCAGAAAAACAATCCAATTCACAAATCAAATACAAAACATCACCTCCCACCATTGAACGAATTCATTGCAACCGTATTCAAGCGATCCAAGCTCTCACCTTGCGTCTGTCTTGTTTCTCTCATCTACTTACAGCGATTAAAAACGGGGCTGCCTAGTCATGCTCGTGGTGACATTGATACACCTTATCGTCTCTTTCTAGCTGCAATCCTTACTGCATCGAAATTTTTGTCCGAAACGGGTACATGTCTTACTAGTCAAGCTATTGTCGTCATGACGGATCACGCCTATTCTCCAAAAGACGTAAATTTAATGGAACGAAGCTTTCTTGGTCTCATCAAGTACAATTTGTTTGTTAATGTGGAAGCAATCAAAGCATATTTAGACATACATGGAAAGACATTGGAAATGGATCTAGTGGAAGAGGTTCTGGACCAACATTTGTAGTAATAGTAGTAACTTTAAATTTCAAAATCAACAAAAGTGTACAAGCTATCACACACATACACACGAACACACGAACACAACAATGTGATTTCCAAGGAGACGAAATGATGATCATCATGATTATACAATATACCCAATCCCTTTTCCATTTTTTGTATATTTCTTTCTTTATTATTCTGTACATAGACTATTCCTTAATTTATACACCTCTTTGCATAATCTCTCTTTCGGCTTGCTGAAGGAATTTTTGATATCTTTCTAATTCATTTACACCTTATACAGATGGGCCATGACTCCGCCTCTTTTCCCTTGTTTTCATTTTGTTTAATAAAAAAAAAAAAAAAAAAAAAAAAAAAAAAAAAAGAACAAACAAATATAAAACCAGACTCACATTTACACGCATCAGATGATCGTGGTGGAAATGAATGCTTCTCCTTCCATGTCTATCATGACAAGAACCACATTTTACAATACAAGAAAATCAATAATAGGGACTCCAATGCTTCCGATAAACGCCGTAAAAGTATTATCCGCTTCTATTGTAGTATATGAAAACCAACACAAATTGTATCTCAAGTTGTACCAGGCAGCAAGCAACCGGATGCAACCTGATGGTGTAACGCAAAAAAAAAACCCCCACAATTCGCACCTATCAATCTTGAATAGGCACGATAAGTTATCTCTGCAGTGTATCAATTATACATGTGGCTTACAGCAATAAATTATACCTAATTTACAAATTAAAAATACAAATATTTGTATTTCTACAGAAAGAACGTTCTTATCATGTTTAAGCGCAATGTATGACAGAGCCTACAAAAGAAACAAACGATAGCCATGGTCTATAATCAATGTATGAAAGATGGACTCTTTGAATATACCATTACACCTTTCATTTACAGCCTTGCATTCTGCTGCGTACCACAAAGCCATTTAATTCAAGCTCGGTACAACAAAAATATAAATGTTGATAGTTACAGTATGTATCCGGAAAAAGTCAGTATTGACCGATCCCACTGTTTCTTTAAATTGCCAAGATGGGGGCCTCCTCTAGATGTAGATTTCTTGAATGCGCAACCGACAACACATTACCTCCACTTGATTTTTGTGAGCTACATTTGGTGGTTGTCAATCTTGCATTCTCGACCCAGCACAACAACAGTCGATATGGTCCCTCAATTTTCTCACGAAATGCAAAAAGGAAGGATTTACAAAAGCAGACATGATTTCCTCTTTTGCAGAATCTTTATCATTCAAGTCATAAATGCCTTTTGGCTATATACAAGGAGAGCATTACATACATCAGCAGGTAGAATGAATGCCACTTTGTATTATCACAACCTGGTTCGGGTGCTACTATAATTCATACGTCGGATGCAACCATTGTCGTGCATTGATTAGAAGCAGCAAGATGATTGTTCCTTTAAGAGATCCAAAACCTCAATTTCAGTCCCCTCCCCCCTCCCCACCATGTCAGAAATGTGGCTATTCACTAATAATTGTTTGCTTACTGAGATGAAAAGTTTTAAAATTTTACTAATAGTAACTGATCCTCATTAAAAAAAAAAAAACCTTTTTTCTGGTTTATCAAACGAGGTTAACCGCATGGACCTGAATGTACTCATTACTCCGAGGTGATTAAGTAAGCGAGAAAAGCTAATTTGCTATGCTCCTTTACTGATACACAGTGTAGTGCTTGTAGGATTGCACATCCATCAAGGGAGAAGCTACGGCTTCGGTCGTCTATTTGACATGAAAAGAGACGGTCAAAGAGCTGCAACTCAGTCGAAAGCGATACAGCCCTTCGATCTATTTGATTCTTGCTCTTGGGGGGGGGGGGGAGGCAAAAGAATACCTACATAACTATTAACATCCCAGCTATTCGACACTCAACACCTTTGGCTGCGTTTAAATTTTAAAAGTGGAACTTTGTTCAAAACTTTTTGGCAAAATCTTCATTGCAGAATTGCTTGGAATATTGATAGTCAAGCTAATATAGCGTATTATATATCTTAGGTATTAAATTGAATTCTGCATCAAATGGTACTACTTGCAAAGCAATAGCATACATATGCAATGAGTTATATATAATAAAGCAAATCAGCTGTTTTTGGGACAAAAGTATCTATTTTAGCTTAACAATTACAGTGATAATAGCACCAACATGTAGATATCATTTCAAGATACAGATTAAGTTATTATATGCATTTGTAGCTCTACTTCTCGTTGAGCAATTCAAATTTTTAGGTCAAAATTTGGGATTTCCAAATTTGAAGGACGACCAGATGCAAGGCCAAATTGGCCTCCAAAGCAAGGATATTCTCATCGTCAATTTCTCCACGAAAAATAAACATTTTTATATGTTTAAAGATGGAATTGATAGTGCTAAATGAGCACTACAAGACGAATATAAAATATTCTATTTTTTGCGTTTGTTTCTCTCATTATATATATAAACATGAAAAACACAACCAAAAAAAAAAAAAAAAAAAATTGTGATACTTTAATATGTTATAAAGCATGACCGAGGAAATTGTTTCCAGTTTTTCAGACGTTTGTAACTTGAGAAATGGTTATTCAAAGTTTTCATTTTTACAGTGTGCAAATCAAGCTCAGATTCGTTCTATGCTGAACGCTCATTCTATTAGGTAATACTTTGAAACCCTCTCTCTCTCTCTTGAACCAATGCCTCCGTAACCGGACCGGACATGCAAATAAAGGATTGAAAAACTGCACATAAAAACTTTTCTTTCTCATTACCATACACCATGACTGAACTTGAAGAGGAAAATGCTCAACTTCGCCAACGCATTGCAGAACTAGAAGGCAAGCAGCAAACACCAGTTGCTTATACACCAGAGGACATGGCAGCTCCTTTTAAAAAGGTTGACAAGTTAACAAACGAAGAGATCTTTCGTTTTGGACGTCAGTTAGTGACACCTGGATTTGGCTATGAATGTAAAGTATCAATACGATCGATTCAACAGTGTGAACTTAAACAAATGTAGCTCAATTAAAGCTTCGTAATACGACTTTTCTGGTGGTGGGTGCTGGTGGGCTGGGATCACCTGCGACCCTTTATTTGGGAGCTGCCGGTGTGGGTCGTCTTGGTATTGTGGATCATGATACAGTGGATACCAACAATTTGCATCGACAGGTGATCCATACCCAAGCACGCAGAGGGGTGAATAAGGCCGTGTCTGCTGCCATGTCTATTAAAGCGTAAGCATATGATCACTTGGCTGTACATGACGAGACCATGCTCACCTTACTTTTACAGCATTTATCCCAATGCAGATGTCATTCCTTATGCTTACACATTAGATCGCACCAATGCACTGGATTTGATCAAGCAGTACGATATCATCATTGATGCTACAGACAACATTGCCACTCGCTATCTGCTGAGTGATGCGGGTGTTTTAGCTGGAAAGCCAGTGGTCTCTGGGAGCGCATTGCGAAATGATGGTCAGTTGACCGTCTACAATTACAATGGCAGCCCATGTTTTCGATGTCTTCATCCTGTGCCTCCACCTGCTTCGACAGTGGGCAAATGCGTAGACAATGGTGTTTTGGGCGTTGGTAATGTATACTTGCTCAAGTAAATGATCTTGCCACTGACACTTTGTGCATGTAGTGCCTGGTGTGATTGGTACATTGGAGGCACTGGAGGCCATCAAGGTAGCTCTAGGAACACCCTCGCTAGATCATCCCAGCTTCTTGATCTTTAGTGGCATGAGCAACCCCATGTTCCGCACAATGAAGCTTCGCAGTAAGAAGAAGGATTGTTCCATTTGCGGTGAGCATCCCACCATGACTGAGCTGATTGATTACGTCCAGTTTTGCAATGGAGCAGCCGACGACAAGACGGTGGATGAGACAATCTTGCAGGCCCACGAACGCATTAGTGTCCAGGTAAGTTGCGTCTAAATGTCACAGAGGCCTGTTTATGCTGATCTAACTGCAAATTATCCCAGCAATACAATGATATCATTCAGCAAAATCAAGCGCATTTGCTCATCGATGTGCGACCTAAAATCCAATTTGGCATCTGCAGTCTGCCTAACAGCGTGAATATTCCAATGGATGAATTGGACAAGCATTTGGATCAGATTCAGCAACAGCAGCAAGACAGGAATGGTATATAGGAAATAACTGATTTTTATTGATGTTTTAGTACTAATAAGAGATGCAATCATAGTGTATGTAATTTGTAGATTAGGCAACGACTCACAGATTGCAGTGCGAATGATGCAAAAAGTAGGCATTGACAAGACAAAAGATATTATAGGCGGATTGTTGAGTTGGTCCAAGTCGATTGATGGTAGTTTCCCCATCTATTAGTCTCGCTTTCCTCCACAGAGACCGCCAAATGCATCCCAACCAAGTAGGACAATGTAAATGACAAACGAAATAAACCCAAAGAAAATAGACGTATTATAGAAATTACACCAGCCACTGTGCTGTCCTGGTGGACAAGTGTACTTTGCAATCTCCACAATAATGCCAATGCCCCACAACAGAGCCATGAGCAAATCACACATGATCATCACCACTCGCTTCATTTTGTCTGCATTGCCAAATCGTCTGAAAAAGTAAAAAATGATATGATAGCCAGAGTAGATAATAGACATGATGGCCTAATTTAATCGTGAGTGTGTGGGGCTCATTGTGGTTGCTGCTCGATACTTACCACGGCAAAAAGGAAATAGAAACAGGCGCTTGAATCAAAGGGGACGCCCTCGCCAGAAAACTATCACATTCATCAGCACCCGCTTCTCCCCATTTATTGCACAACAACACTTACTGGAGAGGCGCCAGCTGCAAAACCAAGATGACCCACTGCCGAGATAAACAAAATAACACGCAAAAGCAGCCTGATTTTAGAAGGCAAATCGCCACGATTCACAGTAGTAGGCGAGTCGGTCACTGTCATTGGAGTCTCGATTTTAGTTGTTGTAGTGGCATTATTAGCAGCATTTGTATGGACAGATTGAGGTGAATAGGCAGTGGCTGGTGTGGATGTGTTGCCATAAGCAGTGCCAGTATATTGATATGCGTTGACGGGTTGCTGAGGCGAGTTTCTGCCAAATTCTTGCTCGTCCAATGTTTTGTTGGATTCTTGCCAAGCATTTACCACGGGTGTATTATTAGCATAATCTGAGGGAGAGGGCATTCTCTGAGTGCCGTAAGGTGAGTTGGCGGTGTTGTTGGCAGGCTTTCTGGGAGGTAGTGCCGGCGAAGCACTGCTGATGTTGGTGGATTCATAGGCATTACCATAGATGGGCCCATTGTTGGTGCTGGGGCTGGACCATGGATTCTGGTTTGACGCTGGTTCTTCAAAGGGATTGCTCATAGTTGATTAATAAAGAAAGAAAAGGAGAGAAAAAAAAAAAAAAAAAGAAGCATCTGTCTTGATGAACCTAATTTTATACACTTTTGCTCTTATGGATAGCATCAGTGTAACAATCAAATGTACTTTGTACGTCATGTTTGAGCAACCGACCTGCATCATTCAATACAGCCTCTCTATTGTTGCAACAGAGTATATAAAGAGACGAAACTCGGCTTTACCCTTTTTCCTCTCTTTTTTTCTCTTTCTCGTTTTTCAACATTTTACAACATAAAACATGGTAGTAAACGCTTTCACACTGCAACGCAAATATCCCCAACTTCAGGTCAACGATATCAATGCTCTCATTGATCAATTCAGGCAAGTGCTTGGTAGCTGTAGTAATGAGCAAGCTGGCTAACATCCCAGCACAGTGAAATTGATTTGGATCAGGATGGCTATCTCGACCAAAAGGAAATCCAAAAGGCTTGCAAGGAAACTGGCTACAGCGACAATTACGATGAAATCCGTGCCACGCTCAAGGATGTGAGCACAAATGCCTCTGGTAAAATTGATGTAGAAGAGTTCATCGAGGTAAATATATACATACAAAAGAGAGAGAGAGAGAGAGAGAGACAAAAGGAGAAGGAGCCTGCAAATGCGAGTACTTTGTTTTGCTGCGCTTGGTTCTTGGTTTCCCGAGAAACTGTACTTTGTACATGAACAAAAGAAACGCGAAATGAAGCAAGCATGAGGACATCGGCTGTTTAATATCAGCGTTAAACAATGACGCTATGTTATCTCTGCGCCAAGGCTTCTACTCATTCTCGCTCTCTCTCTCTCTCTCTCTCGCTCGCTTATGCCGGTATCATACTAACCAAGCATTCTTGGCATCATGATTAGCTCGCAGCCAAATTAAAGGACGGCCGTAATCGAGGCGCATTCGATGTCCACCAAAACAAAATCAAGGTGCACGGTACAAACACCAATGTCACCCACACCATCAACGAGGATGAACGCACTGAATTCACCAGACACATCAATGGTGTGCTCGCTGGAGATGCTCATATCGGAAACCGTCTGCCTATCCCCACCAACACAATGCAACTGTTTGATGAGTGTAAGGATGGCCTTATCCTGTGTAAGCTGATCAACGACGCCGTGCCTGATACCATTGATGAGCGTGTACTGAATGCTGGTAAGAAGATTAACAATTTCCAAATGGTCGAAAACAACAACATTGTCATCAACTCTGCCAAGGCTATTGGTTGCTCCGTCGTCAATGTGGGTTCCACTGACATTATGGAAGGCCGTGAACATTTGATCCTGGGTCTGATTTGGCAAATTATCAAACGTGGTCTTTTGAGCAAGATTGATATCAAGCAACATCCCGAGTTGTACCGTTTGCTGGAAGACGATGAGACTTTGGAGGACTTTCTCAAGTTGCCTCCTGATCAAATCTTGCTGAGATGGTTCAACTACCACCTGAAGGCTGCTGGCTGGGAGAGACGAGTCAAGAACTTTTCAAAGGATGTCAGTGATGGTGAAAACTACACAGCCTTGCTGAACCAACTCAAGCCTGAATCCTGCTCGCGTGCTCCTTTGCAAGAGCGTGATTTGATCCGCAGAGCTGAAATGGTCTTGGACAATGCCGAAAAGATCAATTGTCGCAAGTACTTGACGCCTACTGCTTTGGTGGCTGGTAATCCCAAGCTAAACTTGGCCTTTGTCGCTCACTTGTTCAACACGCATCCTGGATTGGAGCCCTTGACTGAGGAAGAAGCCCCCGAGATTGAGGACTTTGACGCTGAAGGCGAGCGTGAAGCAAGAATGTTTACTCTCTGGTTGAACAGTTTGAATGTGGATCCCGGTGTATACAACTTGTTTGAAGACTTGCAAGACGGTTTAGTCTTATTACAAGCCTTTGATAAGGTGGTTCCTGGTATCGTCAACTGGCGTATGGTCGGCAAGAAGCAGCCATTGTCTCGTTTCAAGCAAATCGAAAACTGCAACTATGCTGTTGCTCTCGGCCAAGAACTTCGCTTCTCACTTGTAGGTATCCAAGGCGCTGATATTGTGGATGGACAACGCACACTTACTCTGGGTCTCACATGGCAATTAATGCGTGAAAACATTGTGCACACTCTGCAATCACTGACAAAGGGCGGTCGTAGTGTCACTGATCAAGATTTGGTTCGCTGGGCTAATGAAACCGCCCAACGTGGTGGCAAGCAATCCAAGATGAACTCGTTCAAGGACAGCGGTCTCAGCACTGGTATCTTCTTTTTGGATGTGTTGAACGGCATCAAGCCTGGCTACGTTGACTACAGTTTGGTGACAAGCGGTAGAACCGAGGAAGATGCATTCAACAATGCCAAACTTGCTATTTCCATTGCCCGTAAATTGGGAGCCACCATCTTTTTAGTTCCAGAAGATATCGTCGAAGTGAGAGCCAAGATGAACTTGACATTCATTGGTAGTTTGATGCAAGTTGACAGAGAGATCAATCACTCATAAATCCACCCATTTAATACTGTATGAATAAAACCTAATAACCCTTCTCTATTCGCCTTATCATCCAGGTCCCACTTGTCTTTAGCAGCAGTATGTTTCCATTCGAAAAAAAGGGCTTTTTATTTGATATAGTACAAAGGGGGTGGTGCTGTTTCGTTTCTGGATCTAGATTTCATGCTCTGCCAACAACATGTTGGGAATGCCATCTCTAATCTTGTAAACATGAGCGCAGTTGGGGCACACCATTTGGCCTTGTTGCACATGAGTCTAGTGAATCATTGTGTTTTAGTATTGAAAATCGGCCAAATTGCCTCTACATCAAGTTACCTCCAACAAGACATTGTGCACCAACTTGAGGAAATCTTCATTTTCTTCTGCGTCTTCAGGCATTTGAGCAGGGAGGGTATTGATGCCAAGCTACAGTTTTATCAGATCTCTGTTGCCATAGCAACTAGGCAGGGGCAATAAACTTACCTGAACAGCAGTGTTGTATAAGGCATCCCACTCAATCTTGTTCAACATGTTGGCCAAGAATTCGGGATTGAAATCAGCTTCGATCAATTCGACTTGAACCTCTTCAAAGCGAAGAGGAAAGTTGTTGTTGTTGCAGTTCTTGACGTGGCATTGCAACATGTTGTGTGTAATGAGTCTCATATTGGATGGAATAGGTTTTGCTGTAAGGAGAAAGAGAGAGCAAAATGAAAGAGCCGGAAAAAATAGAGAGAAAACCAGTGGCAGCATCACAAGCCACCAAGCAACGATGGCAACGTCCTACAAAATGTGGATGCAAATTACGAGAGCAGCCTCAGACCAATGATGTGCATCAATCTGCATCCATTATAACTCATGCCATTCAGCTATCTACTACCATTCTTTTCTGACAACTTATTCATCGAAATCTCCTTGTAAATACTCCAATGGCTTCGCCTCCCAAAGATCAGCACTATTCCAATCAAGAACAGCCAAGGTAAGCTCATGTCAGTGTTTATCGCTGGTTTTTAATAACTCTTGTGCAGAAAGCGATCCAAAGTATCCAGACGAGAGTTAGACACACTCAACGACAACAACAGCAATAGAGGTACACAAAGTTCACGTAGAAAATATTCCGCAATCGTCCTGATCACTTTGACGTAGCAGCTCATCGAGATCTTCCTAAATGTCCTGTCTGTGAATACCGTATCGATCCCAAGTACTGGGCAGAGCATTACCAGTACGAGCTGAACAGACTGTCCGAACCCTCCTCAGAAGCTTATGCAAATCCAATCAACAAAAAGTGAGTAGGGATGCGAATGAAATTTATCATGGATAACTAAAGCAGTGTCTTTGTAGCCATGGGAAACGAGGTGCCGCAGTAGCTGCTAGACGACAGCTGGAAGGCAGCAGCAAAGGCAAAAAGAAGGCATCTGTGCACCAAGAGACGTTGGAAAAGATACAAAAGAACCGACACAAGCGAAAAGACCGTTTAAAGCAAATTATTGACTCCAATTCGTACGAGCCCACAACATCATCCACAGCAGCAGACGATTCGCACCATGTAGCACTGATGCTGCAACAAGAGGAGAATGACGCTGATGTGCAAACATGCTTCATTTGCCAGCAGAGGCTGTTTGGTGATTTGGAGGATATCAATCGCCACATTGATCACTGTCTATCGAACCCTGCAGCGACTGCAATGGAAGAAAGTGATCATTCAGTAGAGGAAGAGGAAGAAGAGAACGACGACGAGGAAGAAGCATACGTGGATGAGGATGATGTAAATACAAACACACCCGCTCAACAAGCATCGCCTGCATCCTGGGAAGAGTACGAATGGGCTGGGCAAGTGCGAGTCAGAGCAAGTGCGATGATGGAGGGCGGATACGGAGGAGCTGGTTTTGCCACTGCCAGCAAGATTGAAGTAGACGAAGATGACGAAGACCTGGATGTCGAGGATGATGATGCCGCTCAGTTTGGAGAAACGCAATATACCGAAAGAGACATCGTTGTAAATATGGATGAGAATAATGAGAATGACTCTGCGTTACGAGAGATGGTGTCGGGTGGTTCAGTGAGAACACCTACTTCCGAGGGGTAAGTTGTTAGATGACTTGTGCTGTGAAAGCCTGTATTCATCCATCTCTGCAGTGACCAGCAAAGACAGGAATTTGAGGCCACTGTATCCGTCTCTGGCTGGGATCAGCATTTAAAGAAAGAAAGCCATTATACCAAATCATCATCACCATCCAAAAGCCAATCATCACTGGTCATTGATTCACTCAAAGCCCGTATACACGAACTGGAAAGTGCCTCCAAATCATCCAACTGTCTCATTTGCTTGGAAAACTACAAGACACCATTGACATCGATTGTGTGCTGGCATGTGCATTGTGAGCAATGCTGGCTGCATACATTAGGAACAAAGAAATTATGCCCTCAATGTCAGAAAATCACCACGCCTGCTGATCTGCGACGAATTTACCTCTAATAACTCATTAATAAACACACTTGCAACAGCAACCCGTATACATTAGGATGATATCTGCTGATATGATTTGCAGATGGGCTCCTCTTCTTTCTATCGTTCTTTTTACTCCTACAGAAATGCTGGTTTTTATTTGAACAAAAAGTACAATGCAGCAGGCGATATCTTTAAATTGTGTAAAGCAATATTTTATTAGTACTTTGATTGCTAATTTACTCAAAACGAGGTAATTTGGATGGCTATGAAATTGTAAAATCATGGATATCAGTACTCTGCATTCTGCTTCATTTTGTTCTCATTCGCCTTACCTCGCTGCTTTCTTCCTGTGCTTTACGTTTCAAACCTTGATCTCCATCTGGCATGTCTGTATCTGCCTCTACAAGTGTTCCGCTCTTGACAGCATCTGCATGACAGGTAGCATGATAAATCTAGCAAGAATGCTTAGTGTCACTTGTTGGATACATTTTTTTTTTCATCTTTACCTTGCCATCCACCAAAATTGCATTTTTATACATCCATTCCTCTTCATCGTCATTCCAAAAATCGATAAAGCGTTCTCCACAGATGGCGCATGGCTTTCGGCTGTCATCGTCAGGCATAATCACAGTGTACAGGTTGGGGTCAATGGCATCTTCTCCTGAGGCTTGATTTGACTTTTCGACAGACTTTTGATTGACATGTCCCATGCCGTCGTGCAGGAAAGCAGGTGCCTGTTGGCTCATGAGCTCGCCACCTTCACCATTGATCCATTCATCCACAGTAACAAACCACGAACGAGACAAACCGCGTTTCACTCTTTCCTTCATCTTTCTATTCTGTCTGAAATGCGAGTCCAAATGAGCGTCCATCTTGGCTTGGCCCTTCTCAGTCTTGGGATATCTGAATCCGCATTGCTTACATTGAAGGGGTTCAGCCGAATATAATAGCTCAACAGCTCCAGGACGAGCAATTTGTAAATCTTTTGAATCCAGGATAAAGGGTCCAAATCGATTCATTGACAAGACCTGAGGATCATCGGATGGTTTATTAGCAACAACAGAAGAAGGACTAAGATATCCCATCGATGTTAGACTTTTTAACAAATCAGCTGTATCCACTTTGGTCTGTTGATTTGTTAATGGAGAGGCGGGTAGTGGTGGTATAGCTGGACTCAACACATTGGCTACTAGTGGCGGTGTAGGCGTATGTGTTGTTGAGAAAGGCACTCTTGGGTTGACCAGTGTGGGCGAAGGCGTGGATACTACAGGCAAGTTGGCTGGCTTTTGCGAAGGAGAAGCAATGGCTATCTGTGCAAGGTATTGCTCAATGGAAGCTGCTTGTGCTGGAGGCAGCGTAGGCAAGATGGCCTTGATCTAATAGTAAAAAAAAAAACACGTTTAATAGGTAACACATATCAATTGTGGTATTCCAAATGCTTTGCTTACTTGGCTTATGATTTGTGTTACAGGATCATTGTTTGTAGTAAGCAAGTTTGCAGTGCTATTGACAGTGTTGCTCTTGGGTAGCAAGGATTGCAGTTGATCAAGGAGACTCGATGAAGACATGGGTGCTGGGTGTTTCTCGGTGATTTGAGGACTTCTGTTGCGAGGATCTCTACTCACTCGATGTGATTCCTACGTGGTGTATGAGTTTACAGAGCGCCTTATTTCTAGAGTGATTTCCTTACTTTGTTTATGAAATTTGGATTCACATGAATACCAGCAGCAGCAGCAGCATTTGATGGTGAAGGCCTGTTGACAGGTGAACCCGTGTGTTTGGGAGGAGCATGGGGATGTCTTGAGCTTGGCGTCTTTTCGCGGATGTACATGATAGATCTTTCAATTGGCTCGATAATGTGGCGAGGAAAGACAGGATGGCCACCAGGCATGCCATTTTTCCAAGTTTGAAGCAACCTTTCAAAACTTTTGCGCACAGTGGGATCCGTCAGTGCATACGCGTCCAAAAAGACATTGACCATGTTTCTAGAAAAGTTTGTAATATAGACACCACCAACATTTTTACAAATAGAATCAATGAGGTATAGTACAGGAAGTTTCTGTCCAGCAGCATTCTACATGATGAAAATGATAGAAAAAGAGAGAAAGAGAAAATAGTGGTTATTACATCAATTCTTTTGTAGAGAGATATGACAATAGATTTTTTTCGGTTCTTTTTTTTTTTTTTTATAGTTTTATCATTTGCAAAAAAAAAATAACAGGGAAGGGATTTCAGGCATTTCAACAACTGCACATACAAAACCCAACATCTCTAACTATATTATACAGATCACAATAACAGCAGTTGTAAATCCCTTCCCTAGCCAAAATAACCGAGATTTTTGTATAAAAAAAAAAGGAGGGGAAAAAGAAGGTACACCCATGGTATACGTGCAAAAAAAAAAAAAAAAAAAAAAAAAAAAAAAAGGGAGGATTTGGGGTATATAAAATCTATATAGTATTCAACTTACATTTCTTAATTGATTCTCTATTTCCTTCACAATGACACTTGCTGCGCCTTGGTTCTCCTGTGCCATGATTGTCAGATTGGTGATGATGGGTTTACTGTTGAATGTGAGCTCGGATAAGGCTGATCGATAATTGCGTCCCACTTGCTCCACATCTCTTGAATTGCTTGCGCTGTGAGGTTGCTGTTGCTGTTGCTGTCTTCCGCTTTTCATTGTATTCGTCGACATTGACAGTTATGAATAGGATAAAGAAAATGGGGTTTAATGATGTAGGGAAAGATGAAAGAAAGGAATATATAGTTTTATTGGGATGATCTCTATGTTCTTTTTCACTCTTTTGATTCACACAATTGCGTTTTAGATACCTCGATGATGAACGAAAAAGAAGATGGATCAACACGACCTGTATAACATGTCGTTTAATGATCAAAACTACCTCCTCTTCCTCTTGGAATGTTCAAGACAACTTACCTTTTAAAAAATTTGAATGTGAAAAAAAGAGAAAAAAGAAAAGAAAGAGAATTGGGTCGACTGAAAATTTTTGTTCCCTTTTCCCTATGGGCTAAATGATGTCACGTTGCTGTTGGCTGTTGGATTCGGATGGCTACTTCTTCGACCGAGTTGAACAAAGACGGAAGAAACGGCTTTTCCTTTTTTCCATTCAACATTTTGCGCACACAATGTAAGCATATATACAGAGGCATTGGATGAGTCACTACAACGAGATACTAATTAACACTGGGTATCAGGGCTGAACCTTACGACCCTTATATTCCTAATGCTACCACAGGCAACAGCAGCAAACAACCCCAAGAAACTGCAAAAACCGCAAGAGTGCAACAGCAAGTAGACGAAGTGGTTGGTATCATGCAGGAAAACATTGATAAAGTAATGCAAAGAGGAGAGAGATTGGTCGACCTTCGAGGAAAAACAGGTATATCAGCCAAGAGATTCTTATCGGCATCGCTGTTATCTAACATGCGTTGCAGAGGATTTACAAGCAACTGCTGGCCATTTCAAACGTGGCGCTAATCAAGTCAGAAAGAGAATGTGGTGGAAAGACTTGAAATGGAAGATTATCATTGCTGTGACAATTTTGGCTATTTTGGGTATTATCATCGGTAAGCCTTTGGGAATAGTGTCTGTCATTGCCATGTATGCTAACATACCCTCATCATCATCCACTTGTAGGCTCTATTGTTGGAACACAGGTAAGGAGTACAGTAGTTTAACTTGGTTTCCAGAGAAATCTAACATGCTTTTTGTTTAATAGACTCACAATAGCAACTAAATTAGCAATTGATTATTATTCCAAAAGATGTATCATATTTAATTAAAGGAAAGGGAGCTGTAATAACCAGTTACACAGAAATGCATTGCTTGATGAGCTGATACCAACACGAATCAAGCTTCGACTGTTCTTACGAGATTTTGTCATTCTTATCCTTATGTTTCAATGTAAATAGCCATTGTAGTCTATTCTTGGCAGAAATCATCTGATCTTTGTAAGTATCCGCCGTCATATTTTCAAGGTGCCATTATAGATCTAAAGTCCAATAGGCCTACAAATTAATACGAATCAAGCTATGGAGGCTATGGCAATGTATATGAGAGACTCACAAAGTACAGATAAAATACGATTTGTAACCTCATTCATAAACATCCATTGTCTTTATGATTGAAAACGCATTGCTACTGTTGCCAACAGCCAGCCGAACGCCAAAAGTAATTCAAACTCAGATTGATTTTCTGCTCAAGATTGGCCAAATCTTGTCTTTCTTCGACTTCTTTAATCTGTTTTACGAGATTCGACTATAGAGATGGTGATGATCAACCCGTATCTCCTAATACGTTCTTAGAGTACTTTTCAAGGCGCTTTCAATGGTGCTAAATAAAAGAGATGTTTTGAAAGAATCTATTGAGCAATTTCAGAAAATATGAAATAAGGTTTTTGGCCAAAACGTCGAGATTTTGCATATGAGGGTCTCACAAACAAAGTGCTAGGAGTTGCTTTGGATCGAGAGAATCATTTTGAACTAATATCATAACATAATAAATGTTCAGTACTTTTGCACTTTACAATCCTAATATGGAACCTGAGTTTCAAGGCATCTATCAGACCTGGCTCATATCATAACATAATAAATGTTCAGTACTTTTGCACTTTACAATCCTAATATGGAACCTGAGTTTCAAGGCATCTATCAGACCTGGCTCATATCATAACATAATAAATGTTCAGTACTTTTGCACTTTACAATCCTAATATGGAACCTGAGTTTCAAGGCATCTATCAGACCTGGCTCATATCATAACATAATAAATGTTCAGTACTTTTGCACTTTACAATCCTAATATGGAACCTGAGTTTCAAGGCATCTATCAGACCTGGCTCATATCATAACATAATAAATGTTCAGTACTTTTGCACTTTACAATCCTAATATGGAACCTGAGTTTCAAGGCATCTATCAGACCTGGCTCATATGAGAATAATGATTTTACAATCAATCAACAAAAACCACTGTAATTTCTACCCTCTTTCCTCTGCTCAGTGCTGTCAATGTTTTATTTGAGCGACGTCTCAGAGCCTCAGAGATTTCATTACTTACTGCAGACATTTTATGCAACCCATGCATTGTCAATGTCCAGACTAACGTTATTAAATATAGAATGCAATAAAATATCATTATGAACGATATAGAAGGCAATAAAATATCATCATAAACGATAGTGCTATGACCTGCCATCTACTTTCTATACGCTTCAAGGGCATTTACTACTGTATTGCCTTATGAAAAGGGCATGAGTTTTCCAGCTGGCCCTACCAGCCAAAATTAATTCAAACCCAGAATCATAGTCTGTTCCAGATTGGACATATTTTGATAATTTTGGACTCGATCGAGCTATTTTTGCAGATTCGACTAAGTGAAGTATGATAATCACCCCATGCTTCCTTAAGCTTTCCTGGAGTACTTTTCAAGGCGCTTCCAATGGTACTAAGTAAAATAGATGTTTTGAATTCACTTATTGAATGATTTGTAAAAATATGAAAAGAGATTTATGGCCAAAATGTCGAAATTTTACATATCAAAGTCCCACAAAGATAATTTCAGAGGTTGCTTTGGATTGATAGAAACATTTTGATTCAAGATATACCATAGTAAAAGTCTCCATTATCAAGATGAAAAATGCGGTCGTTTGATTTTCGATGAAAACCATGAGGGATACCTCATGCTTTTTGGTCGATTTTTGACCATGTTTTTTTGGTCCCCAAAAAGTCGAGCAAAAGTGTCAGAAAGTAACTGCCATATGAAAGCAACCATTTGGGGCTATTCTGACGATCTAAAACGGCCTTGAACGCAAGAAAATTCAGCTCAAATGCATTCATACATTGCTGTATTAGGGACACTAAGGACTAAAAAGTGGGAATACCAGTATGCTGCTTGCCCGTATATGAAGTAGCTACGTGTATATGGATGTAGAACATCACATAAGAATCAGATCCACAGATAATATGAAGGGTTACTATGTGTAAGTGGAGGGTCAAAATGAAAGTAGCAGTATTTTGATAAAATACGCAAGAGCAATCAGTAGCACGAGCTGCCGCTGCGCAGGTTGGTTCTCTACCTTTGCTACGCTTCGGTGAGAACCATCCGAAGCATAAACACTCATACGATTAGTGATTACATATCAATCAACAATCAGGGTTCCTCTTCTAACATTTTAGCTATATTAATTTTGGGATGTTAGCCAAAGGCCCGCGGCAGCGCGAGCCGTTTGAACGTAGGTTGGTTTCCACCGAAGCGAAGCGTAGGTCAGGAAACCACCCGAAGTGCTGAAAGGCTCGTATGCCATAGTAAAACTCTTTATTTTTGAGGTAGAAAATGTGATCGTTTGATTTTTAATGAAAACTATGAGGGGTACCTCATGGTTTTGGGTCGATTTTTAGGCCATGTTTTTTCGGTCCCAAAAAAATTGAGCAAAGGTGTCAGTAATGAATGTTAGACGAAAGCAATTGTTTGGTGCAACTCTAGTGGTCTAGAACAGCTTTTGACACGAGAAATCACGGCTCAAATATGTCCGTGTTTTGCATAATTTCGAGTAGTAAAAGGTAAGGTTGGTATACTGTTTGCCTGTATAATATGATCTGTTTCCATTATTACAAACGTGGAGCGTTGTACCAAGATCTGATCCACAATGACAGGCGATAGAGAGAATTAACAAATCATACGATTGCTATGATAATTCAACATAGTACTGACTCCATATACAAGTTGTTAGGGCATATTTCTCAATCCACAGTGTCTTTACGAGATGGCGTCTGTTAAGCAAAGGCAAGCATGTTTGAACTATAACCTTCAAATAGGATTTTTTGATCAGGCTCTGCGATAGTGTCTTCACAACCCTTTTTGAGTAACAGCACAGCCAAGCTTAGAACATTCTCAGAAAAATTGATATGTTTTTAAGGCACCTCATCTCCACAACTACATCTGTCAAGTCCTATATGCCGAGCATGGGGCATTCGGATCACTCATGAATGTCCTATTAGCCAATGGTCAAGGAACCAAGTGCACTCCTTACGCCTATTGAACTGTTCTGCATCCTTGTGTATTTTATCTTCAACGGTGCTTGCTACAATAAGTCTGCATCGATGTATTCATGCATAATATAATAACTCCAAAAAGATGGGTGATACATCTTAATAGCAATTACCTCTTGTAAACTCGTTGCCTGAGTCGATGTTGAAAAGTGAGTTCAGCCATTGGTACCTCTTGAACTTGTTACATCCATATTCACAAGATACATAGTAGGTTTGTGTACAACAACCACAATGAAGGTGGAGATATGGCACCTTGTTTCCTGAGTTATTTCTTTTAACGCTATCGACTATAGGTGAATAACACTTGGTAATACTGCTAGTATTGTAGCAAGTAGCTTTCTTGCTAATATCACAGTAAATGTGATATTCTTGTCTTCTTTTTTTCCATCTAAAACAACATTGAAAAAGATGACCCCAGTTGCACTAGTAATTTTGATCTACCAGGTGTTGGCCGTCTTGGATACCGAAACAGTGGGCCAAATTGTCATTAGCATTGCTTACAAGAGGAGAAGTCTGGACTAAAAGCTCATGCACTTGCAAAGTCCTTTTGATTTGCTGTTGGAGTACATTGATCTGGTACAGTCTACCACGAAGAAAAAAAAAACCATGTATCCCCCCCTTTGTTTTGACATCTAAAAAGTTTTCAATCGACCTTTTTTCGTCCCCCAAATACATTACCTGCATAGTTTTTTTTTTACCAAATAGATAGCTTCCTATTCTAATATTTTCTAGTACTATTCGGGTATCAATAGCTTAAAATTGTATTGCTCAATTCATGATTTTCTGAAATTTCTCAATCTTGCACTTATCGCTTATTTAAAGTCCGACTAAAACCCTCTAGATTTAGGCACCATTCTTTGCTTTTTAATATCTTCAACAATTCGAAAGATAACTTGGAGTTCAAGCACTCAAATTAATTGGGATATAAATATCTACCATTCTGTACGACAGCAAGTGTCTAGGTTTAAATGCGAGCAAGTTATATAGGTGCCAAGTTCTTCGTAAAAATTAAGCGGGGAAACCACTAGTGATTCAACATTTTAGCCACTATGCTTTCATTTCTTGCCACAAATCAATAATTGAACAAGGTCAATTAGACCACCTTTGAACAGTTTATTTACAATTTATTCATTTTCATTTACGGGAGGTCGATAAACAGGTTCGAAGCGCTGATATGGATTGGTCCATGTTAAATCCTCTTCTTCTTTGGTATAATGCTCTTCGGGTTTGAACAGTGATTGAATGGATTGCATTGCTGCTAGTGTTTCTGTTGTGTATTCTGGTGCTGTGATCATGGATTCCAGCTCCTGATTGCGATACCGTGATAAACCTACATGTGGGAAATGGCTTAGTATAATGCTATCAACAGATATTTTTTACTACAACTTTACCATCCGTTTCCTCCATTGGATTCTGATCAGCAGCCCTCCCCTTGCCTTTATCAAGCACGCGCTGCTCTTTTTCCTCCTGAGGATAATAACCCTTGCTTGCGGCAGCTCTCAGCTCCTCGAAACTGACATTATGGTCGTGATGTTGAGGTATAGAAATGTATTCTACGCAGCCTTTGGTATCATTGGATTGAAAGTAGAAATGGCGTCGCTGCATAAATCGAGCTACCAGAAATTCGGGTACTATGGTGGTCCTTTGTTGTTGTGTCTCCCTGTCCTTTCGTCGCTTCTTCTTCTGTGTTGGATCCAGAGCAGGAAAACGACGCTGTTTGTTTTGCGCTGACTCGCTGCCGTCGCCCATGGAAACACTGAGCATAGATGATGTTGAGCTTACACGCTCTAAAGCGGCATGTTCAGAGGAGGCATTGTCGCCTGGAGAATCCTGATACACCTGAAATTTTTCAATAGTAGTAGAAGGAGTGGGTAATGATGCTTGTCGAATAGTGGCACCAGCAAATTTTTCGGTGGGTCTTTGATTTTCTCGACGAAATGCAGCCGAGGTAGTGCTTGAATGGAGTGAATGGGATGCTGATGAGAATCTTGCAGCAGGCGAAATGCTGCTTCGTGATGCAGACAAGGAGGAAGAAGGCTGTGCTGATGTGGTTTCGGTGAATACAGAAAAGGATTCGGAAGGTGATGGCATTACGGAGCCTGTGCTGTTATAGGCGCTGTTTCCAAAGGATCTAGATGGTAGCGCAGATGAAGAGGATCCAAGTGCCCCACCACTAAATCTGGCTTCTACGTTGGCATGGACATTGGCAGGCACTGACACTCGAGATTGGCTATCAAACTTTTGGCCTAGCATGGTGCGTTGTCCCGTGGATTTCAGTGATTCCATTTGCCTCTTGGCCTCCATCTGTTGTTTACGTAGTAGTCCTCTTTGCTGTCTCTCCTGCATCCGAGCCTTGAATTGATTGTAATTTTTTCTTAGTCTTTTGAGAGGTACAGCTTCCTTTGCTATACCCAATTCAAACACCTGAATCGCTTCATCCATTCTAATGTTCCATGTATACCATTAGTAAAGTCACTTTGCATAGCACTCAAAAGCAGACCTACTTTTCTAATCTCTCGTAATAAGCAGCATAATCCTCGTAAAATAGAGCCAGCCCTTGTCCAATGTTATTCTCCATCAAATACAGATAGACGTTCTTTTTGTGTTCAGAATGTTTGGCATACTCGAGCCATGTCTTGAGATATCGTGGATCTGCTTTGTATCTGGCATCGTCACTGAATTGGGTTGTCGCGTCCTCTAGAAGCCAAAGGAGATTTGACTCGCCCTTGGGTCCCTCGGGGTACATTTGGATAGTCCACTCAATGTAGTTGATGTAGGTCTGCAACGGATCATCTTGCTCGTCAATGTGTTTGAGTTGCTCACGGAACTGTTCATGGCCTAATTGTAGAGCAGCCTCTCTTTCAGTACTGCTACCCAGCAGTGTGGTGAGGGCAGACATAGAGCGACCTTTGCGGTAGGGTTGAATGTTTTCTTTACAGGAATCAATGTCGCCTACTCGAGGAATACTGTCAATGAGTTGTTTACGCCTTTCTTGGTCTTGTACAGCTGTGGTTGGTGGTGGTGGTGGTGGTGGTGGTGTCGTTGGTTCCATTGCTGATATAAGGAACGAAAGAGAGAGAGAGAGAGAGAAGGCTTTGTCTTTAATATAGCAAAGAATGGCTTTTTCTCTCGTGACGGTACAAAATAGCACACACACGCACATATATTAGGTAACTTAATTTAATGCAACCCACCTATACAATAGAAACCCCTCCTCTTTCTTTCTCTCTTTTATCACACCGCAACACAATGACGATTCAAACAGTGAGCGATCAACAAGCACAGTATCTGAAAGAGGCTCTGCAAGTAGTCCGCATCCAGTCCAAGCTCATGAGGCAATGTCTAGTAGGTGATTTCTGGCTGATTTTATCATGATATCGTGTTTTTAAATCCAAGCAATTATAATAGGATAAGCATCGACTGATGGACGGCATCAAGCATTGTTCCAATATGCTGGGAGAGCTTCGCACCTCACTCTTGTCGCCCAAGAACTACTATGAGCTATGTAGGTTGAGGTCATTGGGAGAGATGCTGTTAAAGAAATTGAATGCGATTGTATAGATATATCCATTTTTAATGCAATGCGTTATTTAATCGACTATCTACTGGAAATGCATCAAGCGGGAAAACACCATCTGGGCGATTTGTATGAGTTAGTGCAGTACGCAAGCAGTATTGTGCCTCGATTGTATTTGATGACGACCGTGGGGTCCATCTATCTCAGCGTCGACGATGCGCCTCCAGTAGCCGAAGTCATGAGCGACATGATGGAAATGACGAGAGGCGTGCAGCACCCAATTCGAGGGCTCTTTTTACGCCATTACTTGGGTGGAATGACTCGAGATTTTCTGCCACACAATGTCGACCACTTGAGTGCAACAATACAGTTCATACTGACTAACTTTGCTGAAATGAACAAGCTATGGGTGAGACTGCAACACATGGGACATACAAGAGACAGAGCAAAGAGAGAGTCTGAGAGAAAAGAGCTGGGTACATTAGTAGGCACAAATCTGGTGCGATTGAGTCAGTTGGAGGGTGTCGATCTAGAGATGTATCAGACAGTGAGTAAGGTTGTTATAGTGTTGCTGAAGCCATGATTAAATGTAGCATATACAGGACATACTGCCAGGCATCTTGAGCCAGGTCATCAGCTGTCATGATGTGATGGCCCAGGAATATCTTATGGAAGTCATTATTCAAGTAAAAGTGGTATGCCTATACAGTATCTGCATCCATGCTAACAAATCATCCATATTAGTAGATTTTTCCCGATGAATTTCATATCTACACATTGAAGCCTTTTCTCGCCACCACAGCGCAATTGCACGCCAACGTCAACATCAAGATGATCATCATGGCTTTACTAGACAGACTAGCCACTTATTCAAAAGACCAACAGACAAACATAGGCATTCAAGAGGAAGAAGAAGTAGAAAGCAATGCCCTGTTTCTCATGTTTTGGAATGAAATCATGGAACTCGTGAAAAGTCGTCGTGAATTACCAGTGCAGGATCAAACGTCGCTGTTCTTGTCGCTTGCCAATTTCTCGATTTCCTGCTACCCAGATCGACTGGACTACATGGACCAGATACTGCACTTTACCAAGGAATCCATCTTTAGTCAATATGCGCCGGAGTTGCACACCAAGCAATCTGAGCAAAACGTGCTTCAATTGCTGCTTCTGCCTGCTCAGACATGGGATGTGCTTACGCTGATTACGACACTCAAGCACTATCAGCCATTGCTGGCCATTCAGCCGTATTCTACACGCAGAACAGTGGGATTGGCTATTCTAGACAACATACTGGAGAAGGAAACTCGCCTTGATCAGCCTGAGCAAGTTTACCAGATACTGGAGATCTGTCATGTACTGGTCAAGGACCACAAAAATACATTTGTTTCGCAGCAGTTATACCAGTACGAAGATGAGGACGACAGAGATGAACAAGGCTGGGTGGCGAGACTAGTGCATTTATTCTACTCGGAAGATGAGGACACGCAGTTTTTGGTAGGTTTTCTATTGTTGTTGACTGAGAAGCCACTATCAGAGAAAGAGAGAAAACTCATATCATTACATAGCTGTTATCAGCAGCAAGGCAGCAGCTGGAAAATGGCGACCAAAATCGAATCAAGACCATTTTTCCTTCGTTGATTGTTTCCAGTTTGAAGCTCGCTACCAGATATTTTTACAGGCATAAAAAGGAGCAACAGCAACAACAGCAACAGGGCGCATTGAAAACAGAGCAGGGGCAGGAGGAAGAGCAAGAGACACCAGTGGAAGAGGACAATGCCAAGACAATGGATCATGCCAATGATGACGAGGAGAAAAAAGAAGAGGATGAGCAGCAGCAAAAGGAAAATGAACAGGTTGCCATGGCAACATCAGATGCAGACAGACAGGACGAATGGGGCAAAAAGATGACAACACTATACCATTTTATTCATCAAATCATTATGATCTTTTGCCGTCAATGCGAAAACACAGAAGCACACACAGTCCAATTCTTTCTGATGGCGGGTCAAAATGCCAATTATTGCGGTTTTGAGAAGACAGCTTTTGAGCTGTATCTGGATGCATTCCGTGTATACGAGGAGTCAGTGTCCCATTCCAGAGCGCAATTTAATGCGATTGTTTACAGTATTGGATCATTACTCAAAATATGGTCTCGATTCCAAGAGCAGTATTTTAACAAACTTAGCACCAAGCTCACAGTCTACAGTACAAAATTACTTAAGAAACCAGATCAATCCAGAGCCGTGTACCTGTCATCGCACTTGTGGACGCAGGGAGAAACGCCATCGCGAATAATTGAATGCCTGCAGAAATCGCTCAAGATAGCTGATAGCTGCATGGATGCAGTGACAAATGAAATGCTGTTTTTGGAGTTATTGAATCAAAATATTTACTATTTTGAAAACGGACAATCCTTGGTAAGTTTGATGCATTGGAGATCGAGTCTTGGCAAATTAGGTAAACATGTGAGACGTTATAGGTTACTGCCAATTACTTGAATGGCTTGATGGATTTGATTTCATCGAGATTAATGTATATAAATCAGCAAGATCAGCACCCCTTTACATCGAATTCGTCGAGTCTAATGGATCATGATGACAGCGACTTGCCAGATTACATAACACGTCAATTTGACTCAATATTGGCCCATTTGAGATTTTGCCGAGAAAGATCTCCAGAGAGATACACAGAGATTGAGTTGCCCACTGTGAATGAAGCGAAATAAAATCAAGGCTATAGAGTTGTTGCTGTTGTTGTTGTTGTTGTTGATTCTTTAATGATAGGTTATTATAAAAGATTTGTCTTCTGAAAGGTTTTAGCACGAAATTTCTATTTTATATATGTATAAATTTATTTGGACATCTACAAACTAGAGTTAATAACATCATCTGCACTCCAACATGGGGCTCTACTCACCATCATCTTGACAAACTCCTCGTAGTTGATTTGGCCATCACCATCAACATCAGCTTCACGGATCATCTCATCCACTTCTTCCTCGGTCAGCTTTTCGCCAAGAGAGGTCATGACATGACGCAATTCAGCGGCAGAGATATAACCATTACCATCCTTATCAAAAACCTTGAAGGCTTCTTGAATTTCCTCTTGAGAGTCAGTGTCCTTCATCTTTCTAATGTCGCGCGAGTGGAGAAAGCAGCGTCTTAGTATGCAAATGCGGTGGACTGATGTGCATCTGACTTACCTAGCCAACATTGCCAAGAATTCACTAAAGTCAATATGACCGTTTCCATCACTATCAACCTCATTAATCTATTAAGGAGAAACAAGATTTCATGAGCAAAAGGAGTACAAAGAATCAACTGCACACAGGCACACACACACACCCTTAAACGCACACACACACGCACAAGCCCACATCCAGACTCACAAGGCAGTAAAAAAAAGGGGGGCTGAGGAGGGGATGAAGGGGTAGATTGTTACTTACCATATCTTGAAGTTCAGCTTCGGTAGGATTCAAGTTCAAAGAGCGCATGACAGTGCCTAATTCCTTGGTGGTGATAGCACCATCTCCGTCTTTGTCAAATAATTGGAAAGCTTCGCGGAACTCTGCGATTTGTTCTTCAGTAAGTTGATCAGCCTAACAAGAGCATTAGGTGCGCTGGCGTGTACACAGATGCTATCGAGCAAGCACAACCAAGCATATCTTACCATAATAAGTGAAATGTGCAAAAGAAAAAGAGAGAAAAAGAAGGCAAGAAAGAGAAGAAGGAGGAATCAAATTTATATGGATGGTGTGAATTGCTATGGATCCAAAATTGAAAGAGAGCCAAGAAGTGTGGTTTTGTATACAACAGTTAAGCCTCCATACGTCACTTGTTGTGTAACACATGTCTGCACCACTTTCATGTCTACAAAACGGCAAATCCGTGATGCTTTTGTTGACAAAATAATAAACAACACTGCTGTGTCATCGTTTTATATACAAAACTTACTTTTTAGTTTGAATCGTGCGTGTTGTGTTGTGTTAAAATCGGGCAACATTGTCAATTAGATTGTGTTGGCGGCTCCATTTCAAAAATCTATTAAAAATGGATCATTGGTATCACATTTGACGTCCCCAAGATCCTGTGTGGGCTCTTTATAGACTATTGCTGTTGCAAATGCAGTAAAAGAATAGCAACAATGGCCCTGCCTTGTATTCAGAACATGCATGCGTAATATAGGGGCCTCTAGCACGTCAAAACCTCGCTCATAAAGGAACTTGATTATGTTTTTTTACATGGACAAAGTTCGAAACCGTTACTCCGCTGGGTTCTCTAATAACACACTTGGATATAACTTTTCATCTATGCTTTTCCAATCCTTCAGGGCTTTTACGGACATCAGATGTTACACCACATCTAACGTTGAGATATGGAAATCTACGGGATCCACAAAAGCATCGTATACAGTTCATCGCATTCTATGGATCTCAAAGGTATGCACCACGACCACGCCTTTAGAGATGGTGCTTATATGTATTGAGCATTATTGAGCTCATAAATATCGAAAAGAGCCAATACGCCAGACTTTGATCTCTTTCAGTACTTCATATATTGATTTCTTGACAATCATGCGAATTTCCGATGCTCAAGATGTCTCACTCGAGCGTTTTAGTCTGAATTGCATCTTTGTATCTCACCCTCATTGCGGAAATTATGTAAATGCTGAGCAATCTGGTCATAGAAAATATGGACCAAATCTATACAATTTGATACACCGTGATGAAGAGCATCGAATGATCTCGTACTGCCTGCATGCTCACCACACCTGACTGTAACAACCTCCCACTCTCACAAAGAATGCTTCATTTTCAATGCAAAATTGATACAGGACACCATATCACATGTAACATTTGTACAAAGTAAACAGATTTTCAAATTTTGTTTCGGTTGAGCCACGTATATTATGAGTAAAAAGGCCAGAGTAAAGAGGCAGTTGTAATGGAGACGAAAGCAATGATATGGAAGAACTTGGCATACTAGGCTATACTCCGTCAGAAGTATGATCAGCATTTGTGTCTAGGCTTCAAAAGATTCTGGGCGTCGGTCGTGAGTAACTTGTTGATTGAATTCTGTCCAAATTTCATATGAACTTGAAAGGATTCGTTGTCTTCAGGGTACTTTTGCGTTTTATCTCTTTCCAAAACTTGTCAGCGACGGTTCATTTCATCCAGCCTGCCATCTCTTCTTGTAGCGTGTGTGTGCACACATTCTATCGGTATGATAAAAGCTGGTAACAAAAGACTTCCCTGACAACTTGCTGATGGTATTGAGGTATTACAAGAAGTTCAATTGCGCTTGCTTCTAGTCGGCATATCTTTGCCAATCCATCAAGCCCAGTTGGATCGTTGTAAAGTTCAATATTGCTTGTAGAATAAATTATCATCATCAACAAAATGATATCAATCGTGCGAGCAACTTACATGTGGGTATAGGTTGCGTACAGATTTTCATCTGGAGCATGAATGCTTCGTAGCCCCAACTTCCTCCTGGCCTTTGAATAAGCCTTGTCCAAATCCCCTTTCGCTAGTAACTATGTATATCAGATTTTGGTAGATCACATGTGATACTTGCTGATAAATACTACCTTGATAATAAGTGAAAGTTTCTTGTCTTCAATCTGGCCTCTTTGTGATATCCATTTCTAATTCTCTTCCATTTCGATTCTGTAAAAAGGAAGTGTTGAGTATCGCAAGATAAATCGATTACAGGGTTAAAGCACTAGCTGCAAATAAGAAGTGTAATGATGTGTTTAATTGATCAATGCAAATAAACTCGCATGTAGTAGCTTACCTTATTGTATACTTTTCGGCATTGTTGAGATTGTTATAATGTAAAAAGACTAGTGCATGTTCCTCAGTAGTGCGCTCAAGGCTTCTGGATGCAAAAAGGGGTTTGCCCTTCTCTTTTGGAAGATAGAGGCGCAATCTTCATGCTTACAAAAGCCTTCTTGGTGGCCTAAATGGTGGTATCGAGTCTATCTGTCTTCAACCTTTTCGCAAGGAATATCTACATACATAAAGGACGGTAATAAAGTCCAATTTTGCCTCAATACAAAGCTTAAGTTTTCATTACAATTATCATCACAGGCCTCATACACTCGAACACCATTGCATACACTCCCAACTTTAAATGCTATTCCTAGTGTCGATTATCTCACGGACTAGGCTTTCTCCAATTCTCGATTTATATGAATAATCAAAAAAGAAAAGTATTATTTCATTAATGGTTATACAGTATTTACATCTTCGGCATTCGATTTTTATAGACATTAATTTGAACGTATGGCTGTGAAGCTGGAAACGTAAAGCTACATCAAAGTATAATGAAACTCGCGTAATCATGCTGTAATAATAAATTAAATACAATACATACACACATAAAAAGCGTCCCATAAGCCAATTCACTGATCTAGTGTTTAATATCGACATTGATCACAATATCCGCACAGCCGAAACATCATATGCAATGTTGGTAAAGTGACAACCCTGCATTTGAATCTACATTTGTATGAACATTTTGAACAACTTAATATATCAAAAATCCAAATTAGAAACAAAAGTAAACTCAAGTAGCCAAGCTAAATTATATAAATTTTTAATAAGCAATCTCATTCGTATTAGCTTCACAATAAACATCGATTACGTTCATCGAAAGGCATCATCTTTGTCATCATCATCAGCAGCCAAAGCAGCAAAATAAAACTCCGTCTGATAACTATACTAGATTGGCCAGATTGGCCAGATTTGATTGATTTTCGACTTGTTTGATATACTTTTCCAGATTTGACTATACAAATAGTGAAGATCACCCCATACTCCCTAGTGCTGCCTTTCAAAAACTATATGATTCCATCCGAAATGCCATTGCTCTTCACTCACAACGCAACATCTCCATCCGTGGCCGTGCTACCATTCTCAATTCACTCATTTATTCCAAATTATGGCATGTTTTACGACTCACAACATTTACCAAGGCCCAGTTGCTCTCTTTACGAAGCCTGGGTACCGCCTTCATTAATTTTCGTATATTCCCTAGACTCTCTTTTGCTACTCTCTCTTTACCTCGCTCTGCCGGTGGTTTGGGGCTCCTAGATCCTCTCTCTCAACAACAAGCTCTGCAATGGTACTGGGTGTGCCCTCTATTACTTCAATATCTTGACTCTCCGGCCTTCTCCAAGTACAACACTCCTTCGCTTCCTGTCTTAACTTATACTCTTTCTTGGTGCTACTCCTCCACCGTCTTCCCTCATTTCTTCTACTATCTCTTGTTGCCTTATGCTCGCCATCGGTCGTGGTTTCCTCAAAGCCCATCCCGTCGACACAGCTATCTCAATCCAATTACTAATCTTCAGTCCTGTTTGTCACTTTTCCAGATAACAGAGCGTCATAACTTATATGTTGATGCTGTTACTTGCTACTCACTTCCTCTCTATGATATTCTTTTACATTCACCACCTACTACTAATACTCTCTATTCATCTAGCTTTATACCACCGAATCTTCTCTTAGACGGCTCCAACGTTGCAAAGAAGCTTCTTGTAAGCGACATTTTCCGGTTAGATGCTGATCATCAGGTGCTTCGTGTTCGTTCTTCCTTCCAATTTGCTAGCCATCCTATTGTCTCCCAACGTGTTGCTGATTTCATCAATTCTCGTCAACTGATATTCCAGCCTTTCTTTGCACAGCAATGCTTCATTGCTCCCCGTCCAGCCCTAGACCCTCATCAACCTCCCTCTCTGCGGGCGTTTTGCCGTAGCATTTTCGTCCCTCCTTCTTCCTCGCCTTCGCGTAGTCGGTTGCCACTCAACAGCATCCGCTTTTTTAAAAAACTACGCAAAAACCTACCCTCTTCCTCCTCCTCTCTTTCTCCTCTCCAACCTCCTCAATGGCGCTCATTCTGGACACTCGCAATTCCCCTTGCTGCTCGCACGGTCTGGTGTCGGGCTATATATGAAAAAATCCCCACCAGAGCCCTCCTACATCTACGCATTCCTGACAATCACCCTTCTCACCGCTGTACAATCTGCCCTGCCTCTCCCACGGAGGATATCACACATGCTCTGTTCTCCTGCCCTCCCAAGTTGCTGGTCTGGCGATACATGTATCACACCTATCTTTCTGCTTCTCCATCAATCTCTGATGTTGATCTGATTCATTTCTTACAACAAACTTTACTCTGTTCTTCCCCTCTTCTTGATCGTGATCCCTCTCTCTCGTTCAATGAACTCTCTATTCCTCAACTATTCGCAACTACTCTTTTGACAATTTGGCAAGCGCATTGGCGCTGGATCTTCGACCGAACCCCGTTCATCGCTGACGCCGTTCAACTTCGCCTTGCTCGCTCTCTTGCTCGTTTGGATGCCGAGTTAAATCTTGATTCGTAAGTATTCAGTTTTACCTTTTCGTTCATTCTTCTGTCACCTTTTTTTTTTCCAACCCATTTTCCATCCGATCCTTTGTCTCTATATCCAGTCTTTTCTATCCCTCAGCACGACATTTAAAGGACTTTAAATAAAAACTGGAGCTCGTCTCCCCTACAAAAAAAAAAAATACTCCCTAGTGCATTTTTAGAGTACTTTTTAAGGCGCATCCAATGGTGCTAGTTATAAGAGATACTATGAGCAAAATTAATGAGCAATCCTCAAAAATATGAAATAACGATTATGGCTAAAATGTCGAGAAAGTGCTAATTAAACTCTCACAAACAAAGTTTCAGGAGCTGCTTTGAATCGAGAGGAACATTTTGAATTAATGTGTATCATAGTGGAAGTCTTCATTTTTGGTGTCAAAAACGCGATCGTTTGATTTAAGATGATTTTTATGAGGGGTAGCTCGGGGGTGGCTAACGTACCAACAAAATATTAAAGCTTATAAATGCACACCCTGTCCGGCAGTGCTGTAGCAGCGCTTGCTTTGTCTGCTATTTTTTCCTTGGGCTAACGTACCAATAAATTGTCTCTAGACATTGATAGACTTGCAAACTCCTCGTATTGCAAGTAATATAAATACAAGACAATGAATGACAAAAATGCAAGTTTCTGGTTCCTATTAAGTATAAATTTGTCAATATAGGCTTTCAGTTTGAGTTGTGGTGTAATTTATTGATTTGCATTACTGAGGAATAGTTGTAAATTTGTGCAGTCCAGAGAATGATTTTGAGCTTTACCAAAATCAATATGCCTCCTATTCAAATTGGAAGTTGCACAGACTGCAGAACTGCCCTCTTAAAGAATTTCAGCTATCCATCCACCAAGATGTGATTCACGCTGTGTAAATAAAAGCTGTAAAGCAAAAACATTACCAATTTTGACAGCTTTCAAGCCTTCATATATTGACATGTAGACCTTTCTGAGCCACCGGAATGATACCAAATTGTTGTATTCGAGTAATAGTAACTTCCTGACACCGTTGCTCAACTTTTTGGGACCAAAAAAAACAGGGCCAAAATTCCACTGAAAACCATGAGGGGTACCTCATGATTTTTTACGAAAATTAAACGATCGCCTTTTTCACCTTGAAAATAGAGACTTTACTATGGTATATATTAATTCAAAACGTTTCTCTCGATTCAAAGCAACTTCTGAAACCACTTTTCTGAGGTTTTTATATGCAAAATATGGCTATTTTCGCTAAAAACCTCATTTCATGCTCTGTCAAATTGCTCAATAGTTTCATCCAAAGCACATATTATAATTAGTGCCATTGGAAGCGTCTTGAAAAGTACTCCAAAAATGTATTAGGAAGCGTAGGGTGATCTTCACAATCAATATAGTCGAATCTCGCAAAAGAGTTCAATCAAGTCGAAAAAGGAGGAAATCTAACCAATCCTGAAAAAAAATGTCTGAGTTTAATTAATTTTGGCAGGCTTCGCTGATGCTGGCTTACCCGAATGCCTGTCTGATGATGACAATGATAATTGCGATACTGACCCAATGGAGACCATATAGTTGAAAGAACAGTTACTTAGCTCAAATATATGTATATATATTTACTTTTTTTTTCAGAGTTTTTCCCTGTAAAAGTGTCTTTTGTAATGACAAAATCTCTCACTATTAATTGAATGTCTAAAATTTATGTGATATCTCTGAATTGAGATGTCTTCGGCGAGAGCCCGCAGGGCAACGCCGTCATCCAGCGTAGTAAGATCGATAGGCTATTTGTCTTATACAAGAGATCAAATACATTGTTAGATTTAGTTGACATGTCAGGATCGAAAAAAAAATGTATGGCAAATGAAGAGGATATTTTGTTGGTACGTTAGCCACCCCGGGGTAGCTCATGCTTTTTGGTCGACTTTTGGCAATGTTTTCCAGGTCCCAAAAAAATTAAGCAAAGGTGTCAGAGAGCTAGTGCTAGATGAAGGCAGCTGTTTAGAGCTATTTTGGAGGTTTAAAACGGCCTCCAGCAGGAGAAATCGTGTCTCAGATGCATTTAAACTATGCTCAGATTCGCATTATCTTGAGTAGTAAAAGGTAATGTTGGTACGCTGTCTGCCTGTTATCAAATTTTTCCAGTATGTATTACAAACGTGGAGCGTCGTAGAAGAGTCAAATCCATAGTTACAGATCATTTATGGAAAAATTCTGCTTATAGTACAATACCAAGAGATTGTTATTTAGTATGACAAAAGACAGCCATAATGCGCGCATCATGACAAATCACTCAACAATGCCATCATTTAAACATCGTTTATCTGTGATCTATGCCACTTCCTGCTTTAAAAATCTTCAGACCTTCTTTTAGATCAAGGATTACAAAGGGTATCAAAAGCGAAAGCATTTGTAGATTTGAATGATTTCCTCTCTTTGCTTAAATAATCTCAAGCAGACGCTTTCAACCATCCTCAACAAAGTGCTGCTTATATTTACTTTCATCATTTCGGCGTTGTAAACACAATGCAAATCAATTTTGATATGGCAGAATAGCAGCTATTACCTCATTATCTATTATGTGATTATAAATGTGACATGTACTAAACTGTACAGCACATGGGATACTGTGGTATACAAACCTTAAAAAGAGCGGGTAAGGCTGTGAATCAAGGTTCCTGAATTCATTTCATGTCCGCCTTTGATGTAAAATCAACCAGTATATAGATTGCTGAAATGTAGTAATAACCATCAATATTCATAGAATTATATCTCGAATTAGAACAACAAAAGTTGTTCTAATTTGAATACAGAGACTGATGGGCTCCTCATCTCATCAGTGCACTGCGCAGATAAATTATTCAGTCTAAACCAAGGCACAACAACTAATATTTTGTATATCCACTGATCCACCTACAATCCTTGCACGTTTTTAACTACAAGAGTAACCACGGATCTATGCAATTGCATTAGTCTGCATAGATTCATCTTTTGCATGCATGCCACATTTGGAATCATGGCTAATATTAAAGGTAAAAGGTAATCCCGTCTCAATCTATCAAAGAGCGCGCCTTGATGGTGATAGAATTTCGGAAGGATCCAATGTCAAATGCTTCGACTAAGTCAGTTCAGGGAATTAATGATAAATAAAGGTGCTCTTGTCATGGCAACACAAGCAATTCAGTGGGAAACATCGCTCAACTATCATTGGAGCATATGATATTCGCAACATTCAGTCAACAATGACGATCTCTTCTATCAAACAGAAAACTACATTTCCCACGAAAATACTTCCGTTTTAAATTTCTCACGCTACACCAACTTATTTTAAGTAGGATCTATTCACCCTTGCTTTTGCAAGCGTGTAACTCTGCTTATATGATTGTTTTTTTTTTATGGAATTAAGGGTAAAGAGTTTTGCAGAATTGAGTTTCAAGTGTATTTTTTGATACATGATGATATTCAGGAACGGTTGCCATGGAGACAACTGATTCGAAATACAGACGTATAGTCTAGTAGATCAAAGAACTACACCCATACTGTTGTGCTTGTATTATTCTCACTGTTCCATTCAACAACTAAACATGAGTTATTAAACCCTGATTTTTCTTTGTAGTTTGTGATCCCACTAATTTGAAATGCAACAAAAACTCTCCACCAATGGAATACAATCGACACTGAATGATTCATTGCAAATTGGCCACTCCTGTCAATCTTTCCCACAGTTAGCAACACAAGAAAAAGCACAAAAATGGTGTTGTAAACTATTAAAATTACTAGATAAGGAAGTTGAAGAAATTTATTTACATATACATAGAATAATAATAGTAAAAGAAAAGGATAGTGGGGAATAAAACTATACAGTGAAGCAATAAGTTATATGTATTATATAGACATAGTTTTAGGAAGAGGAAGGTGTTGTTGCTGAGGAAGATGAGGACGAGGAGGAAGCTGGCACAACACTCCATCTGCCACTATCATCAAGCACATCGCATGAAAGAGCTTTACCAGTGTGATATACAAGGCCATCTTGACGCACCAGTAATAAAGCCAGTTCAAGATTTCGACGACCATCAGCATGCGTTACCAGCATATCATGATTTGCAACCAGGAGATCTTGAGTGGGAGGTAATTGAACAGACCAATGTGTTTCATGAGGAGTATGAGGTTGAGGGGGCTGAGAGATACGGGTAACCAATGGACCATGGGTTCCGAGCCAAAGATCTAAAAGACGAGGCACAGGAGCAGCTTGGATTAGATGTTGGCCAACGACATTTAACGTATGATGCTCATGTTGGTATTCAATAGTGGTCAACATTGGGAATGGTGTAATGTGTCTGGGTGGAGATGGAGGAGGTGTATGTGCAGTAGTTGCATCTACTGACGCTGCTGCTGTTGCTGTGGTAGTAGAAACTTCAGGCTTAAATTCTGCAACATCAGTGATGTCTTGTTGGTTGCCCTGAAAGCTCTCATTTTCATAGTAATCGTACTCGAATTTGTTGATACCAACGATAGTCCAGCAGAGATAGTCATCTACTTCTTCATAGCTAAGCTCAAGAGTCATCTTTTCAGGCTGAACAAGTCTTGAAGGTGAGTAATCGAGCCATGTATTGCTGCCATGGCCATTGCTTGAATCGGCGGTGGAGGACGAAGGAGATGCACTCACAGAGTTGTCATTCATGGAACCAGCAGCGCTCAGGTAGATGGGTTGTGTGTCAATAGTGGACGCCAACTGTAAAGCAATCTTCTGCATCTGGCTGACAGGGCCATAAGCGCATTGAGCGATTCTGCCCTTGTCGACCTTACGGATGATGAGAGAAGGAGATGTAACACCTGTTTGAGAATCACGCAGAATGATTTCAGTACCATAAGTAACATGAATTGGCGCCTTGTTTCGCTGTTGTTGGGCATGATGTGCTGAAGGAGGAGGTGGTGGTGGATGTGCCAGTTGAATACGAGAGGTATAGCGACCACTGACGGTTGTAGTCATCTGTTGTCTGGTAGGTAGCTTGTGAGGCTGAGGCAGCTTGGGTTGATTCACAATAATGATATCAAATGGAGACCAAGTGGTGTTCTTGGCACAAAGCATGTTGTTACTGGAGGTCATGTATTTGGTTCTTACAGTTTGAGAATTGATACGATTGAATAAAGATACAGGAGAGTTGGCAAGGATACATGTAGACACATTTCTTGTTTTTGCCGTCTTTTTAGATGGCTTGGAAATGATGGATATTGGCTTCGAGATGAATGAAGCCAATGGCTGAGGGTCATTGGGAGGGGGTGTTGAAGTAGCTGCTGCTGTTGTAGTAGTGGTTTCTGTGGTGGTGGTATTGGGTAGCAAATCGACTTTAAGGTTAAATTGCTTTGCCTTTGCTGTACCAGTAACATGAAGATATTTGAAACTGCCTGATTGATTCTCATCCAACATGGAACGTTGCTCTAATATTCTATCACCATTTTCGCAAATGACAGACATGGATAACTGCATCTTTTCTGCTCTTTGCTCGTTAGTCATAGTAGAGTTGGAGGGTGATTTAATTTGTACAATGGGTGGTGGACATAAGAAACGTTTTTCTGAACCATAAGATTTCTGTGCTACAGAGGCATGAAGGCAGGTGATGATTGTCTTGTGTCTCTCATTATTATTGCTACTATCTTTGGGTTTCTTGGAAAGACGCTTAGTTGCTTGTGATTGCTGATAGTCCCATCGTCTCTTATGGTTACTGGTATTGTCAGATGTTAACAAAGATGCAATGCTGACTTCATTAGTAGAAGCAGATTGAGATTGACGATGATGTTGGAACTGGTTGTTATCTAAGAGTGATTCGATAGACATTGATTGATGTGCACTGGATGTAGAAGATGAGGCTGAGGTAGAAGTTGTCTCTTTGATGATATCTGAGTGATGAAGTTGTCTTTGATTGGTAGATCTATACTGATGGTGTTGTTGGTGATGATGATGATGATCGATAGCACTCAACAATGTATCCATAGATGTAGGTCTCGTTGTCTGTGTAGTATTTGTTGGAGCAGAGAGTCCAATAAATTGAATTTTTCTACTGCTACCGAAAACTTGCTCAGTGATGATGTGGGATTTTTGCTCCATGTTTTTTCAATTTTTTAAGATTATTTAAAGGAAAGAAAGGCGAAGAATCACAAAATGAAATGAAATGGACGCTTTATTTCTCAGCTTGAAGATGTTCCTTTTTAGGTAATTTAATGAGCCTCTTTTTTTTTAACTGATAAGATGGTGAAAGATCTCTTTTTTTGCTAGTTTTTTTCATCATGCGCTAATATTTCCGGTAAAAGAATCTGTGGTGATACACCATAAATTTCACTTTTCCCACTCACTTTCCCAGGGATTAGGTACCATCCAAAACGGTGTGTAGGTGCATTACTTGCTGATCCAAATGTCCAAATGCAAGCTGATTGGAGAGATATGTTGCCATGACAACAGCTTCCACTGTGATAGCCAACATTTACTACTGTTGTTCTTGATAGAAGTAGTTTGTATGAAAGCTCATCATCGTCCTAAACAGGCAATGATAAGCTTACGGTATTTCATTCGCTTTAGGCTATTCCTCCAAGATGCACAATATACAGCCATTTCTTCTATCTCCTATTTGACAGGGTTACATGTGACTCAATCGACGAGTAAGCCTGTTTTAGTGATAAAAAATATCAGCAACTTGGATCATGCTCCATTTTTTAGAGCCAATTGCCTTCTAAATTAGGCTACGTGAGAAAGATGGTGAGAATATTTGGGATTGCAGTCTGTGCTTGCTTACTGATAAGAGTCTTCATAGGCCATCACGGCAGACTGAGTAATGTGGGTATGGCATGCTGGCATTGTGCCGATTATTCTCGTTGAAAATGGCATGGAAATTATACCAGATGGTAGTGCTAGAGCCGCGGCAAAATAGACATGTAGCAGCTATTACAAGGCATAGCAGTGGTTTCTTGATCCAATAAAGAATACAACCATGAGGCTATAAAATGCATGATCAGTAGCTTAATTTTTGTTTAGCACACGAATGTACAAATAAAGAGATCTCGTAATTGCCATTTTGGACTTGATAATCTCGCATATGTACAAATATTGTAGCAATTCGACTCATATGAATCGATATGATATGATTGGAAGACGCACCATTACAACGTGTGTGTAACTGCTACACTGTTTGCATTTTAGTGTACAAATGGAATATACACAGTGTATAAACAAACAACAGCTTATACAAGAGAAATATAAAGTTGCCCTTTTTAGATTGTGGTACTTTTTGCTAAACAATCAGAGGCTTTTTTTCTATCAAACTGAATACAAGAGTTGACACTGAAAATAACCACGTTTAGTTTGTATAATATCATCTACCACCAAAGCAGGTTCTTGGCAAATGCTGAGGCTACTGTGGCGGATGCATATTGATAGTAATCAAAGCTAATATCATCAACTTGTGTTGAATTTACAACATTGCCTAGCTGGTGTTGCTCTTCAAACCATCAGACGATAAACACAAAAACGTAAACAAGCAACAAGAAATGCTACAACATATAGTTTCTACATGGACAAGACTGGATGTAGTGTTTGCACAAAATTAGAAGTTGAAGTGGTGCGCTAATTACTACTGGGTATGATGGTCTTGGATGGCTTTTTGGGACTAGATTCACTTCATTTGGTCTGTTTATAACAATAGAGAAGTTGATTTGTGATCTGTTTGACCACCAACATGCTGTATACTTGTTGATTCAAAGAAGCTATGTTACGATACCTTGCAACTTACCCTTCATGTATCTATAAAAGCTATTCTTTATGGCTTTAGCTGCTTATCATCAAAATACCCTCAATAATAATTCGAAATAATAATTCTGTACCACTACATATGATTATCAAAGCAATCAGGTGGAGTACCACAATCATTTGCTTATAAAATGTGTATGTTCAACGTGAACATTCCTCTTGGTGTATATATATCGTATGAACCTCTCATTTCGTATTTAAACGTTTCGAGCAAACACCTGAATTGTATCCTCAACGATTTTCTGATAATAGAAACGTCATGGTTCTGCCGCCAAGTTGAACATTCCAGTGTTGCTGTTGCGGTTGCGGTTGCTATCGAAAATCTCTACATATCAATTATAGATCAGTGTTTTATACTTGTACAGTCTCTTCAAATGTAAAAGTGCAACCCAAGTAGTATTTCTAAGCTAGATTACCCTCCCATCTGCAATCCCCATCTTAGTAGCTTTAGAAACATTGATTGCCCTCATGAAGAAGGCATCTTGGTCTGCAAGGATAAATTTAAATTCTCCTTTGTTTCCATTGCTTCAGATTGGCCAAACTTTGATCAGATTCGATTCAATTAATCTATTTTGCTAGGTTCGACTATGTAAAGTGTAATGATAATCCCATTAACCCTTAAGCTTCTTTGTAGTACGCTTCAAGGCGCATCCAATGGTGCCAATTACGAGAAGGTTTTTGAACAAACGTATTGAGCAATTCTTGGAAATATAGAATTACGTTTTTGGGGAAAATGTCAAGAAAGTGCATATAAAACCTCACAAACAAAGTTTCAGGGGCTGCTTTGAATCGAGAGGAACATTTTGAATTAATGTATATCATAGTGGAAGTCTTCATTTTTGGTGTCAAAAACGCGATCGTTTGATTTAAGATGATTTTTATGAGGGGTAGCTCATGCTTTTTGGTCGATTTTTTGGCAATGTTTTTCTAGTCCCAAAAAAGTTGAGCAAAGGTGTCAGAAAGTTAGTGCTAAGTGAGAGCAGATGTTTGGTACTATCCTGACAGTTTAAAACAGCTTCCAGCACGAGAAAACGCGTTTCAAATGCATCCAAATTTTGCTGTGCTATGCGTAGTTTCGAGCAATAAGAGGTAGTGCGAGCATACTGTCTGCTTGTATATAAACTGCTTCCCTTGATACAAGCATGGAGCATCGTATACAAGGATAAGATCAACAGTTACAGATCACTTATGGGAATTTTCACTTGATAATAAACACTTACAGAGTGAACTTTCAGTGAAAACCAGTAGGACGGCGCCCTTTATTCTAAACTGCTGAAGCATGATCAATACAAGAGAACTAGAACTGAGATGCGTAGCCAAGAATTGGACTGATCATTGAAAAGCAGTTTGCATAATCTAGACATCTCTTGAGAAAAGTGCTGCTTGTTGATGGCTCATCAATGGCAGATACTTCTAAGACTATATGTATTTATGCTGTTGAATTAAAGAAACGAACTGGTTACTAGCATGTTATTTGGCTTTCGCATTACCATCTATATGGGCTACGATGCGCTGTATCACAGTACCATCATCATTTACTATAACCGTTCTTGACCTTATTGCATCCCTTATTGGAAACTTGTAATGCTTCATGGGCTGCCACTGGCAAACACAACCGACAATATGCTCAGCCTCGACATTCAGCTTGCTTTATTGAAATATGATTAAAAAGCTGCGACTGTCTCCAAAGTTCTTTATCAATGTCAAATAAATCTTGTAACTCTTGCTCTAGAGGCGCTTTTAATGTGGGTTGTGCATCCTCTGAATCATCGCTGCTGAAATCACTGCTACTGCCATGAGGGTGACTGTCTCGCAGAGCACAATGGTTGTCTTGCTCTTCATGTGTGACAAAACTAAATACATTGTTGAATTCACTCTCTTCTTGTTGAATCACAAAATATTGCTGATGATTGGCTTTCATCTCCTCCTCCTGCAAGTCTCGGTCGTCGTCATTTTGATGATGATCACTAATGTTAATCTGACATTTTGCGTTAGATTCAAAAATTCGAGATTTTCATCAAGCCAAATGTGCAAACTACGTGATTACAAGCATATTCTGTGGTTTTACTAATCTCTTTAATCCTGAGTGTTTTCCAGCTAGGGCGTCTCTATAGAGTGCCATGAATTGAATAAGCAAACCATGAAGGTGGCATTGCATGCATGATGGTGTACCTGCATTTGTTGTCGTTGTATTTTGTTCATTAAATATTGTATCATGTTTTCAAGTGGAAAAGAAAGAAAGAGTGGAAATCTACCTCCCCAAACAATCACACACACACACACACACACACACACACACACATTATAATCTACCAAGTGTTCACATGAACCGTGTATGACAACCCATTTATTCCTTAAACGTCTTTAAACAGCTCATAAACCTCCATGTCGCTCACATCTCCGCTACTGGTGGATTTGGTGTCATCCTCTTCTGTCGCTGCTTGTCTTGATTTCCTGCCAAGATTGCTAGCTGACTCTCTTTTCCTGGTCTTTGCCGTCTTGTGATGTGGCAGTTTTGGAGGGATCTACTCATATGGGATGAATACACCCAGACAACCATACACGTATGAAACATTCGCTTACCCTGAAAAAATACTGTGTGTCCTTCATGGTGCATTTCCGAGCACTCTTCCCCACATCAGAGTACCTCTTTTGTCGTTCTTGATCCGGATCTAGCTCTGGCTTGTAATAGTACAAGTCTTCTTTGGGTGATCCATCTGCCGTTTTCCCTATTCGTTTGACACATCCAATCGCGGTTGAACTCTTTAATGCATCCAGCACATTCTCATTTGTTTGTCCTTGCAATCGCTTTGTGATGTCTGCACACGTCATGGTAGACTTTCGCGTGTGCACTGGTTTTTGTATACAATGCAATTAGCTCCCATGCTCACACTCATGTCAAACTATACACTTTACCAAGTACTTGAATGATCTCATCCTCCATTGTCATTGGCTTTTTCATGATATTTCGAGCTGTCTCTTTTAGCTTGGATGCCGTGGATTTGATGATGCTGTTGAGGGTGGATGTGGTATGATGAGTGCTACTCTTTTGAGTGACAGTGGTGGCCGTTGTGGTATGATGCGTCGTGGTAATGGCAGTGGTGGTAGTCGTTGATGCGATAGTAGATTGCTTCATGGCCATCGCGGGTATATTGTCTTGCTGGATCGTCTCTTTATCCACCTCCATTTTGGCATCCACTGCTGCCGTTGCTAATGTGGCCTTCAGGGGCGTGTCTACAATGTTCTTCATATTCACATGGTTGTTGTTATCATCAGGCACCTGAAATATGATTTTTGTGCCAACAATCTCGATGGTAGTTCCCTCTATCACTGGCACATGCTCTCCCTCCACAAAGATGATATGATCAATGAGTGCTCCATTGGGCGAGAGTATGGTCAGTTCAAATCCACCCATCTGCGGTTTATGCTCAATCACTACATGTTCTCTCGACACTCGTTTATTTGCTTTGCCAATCTGGATAGTCGCGTCATGCCCTCTCCCAATGGTTGTCTTGCAAGTCTTGGACCCACGCAATATGACAGGAATCGCATCAGGTGAACTCTCATGACAACGCATGGCGAGTGCTGGATTGACTTGAAAATGTGTTGTTTGCGCTTGAAACAAGGTCATTTTTCTGTCGGCTGGATGCTGATGCTGATGGCTTTCAAGCAGTGAAGTGCCCTCAGACATGATGTACATGAAGAAATGTGGATAAAAAGAGAGGGAGAATGATATCGAGCTCTTCCAGCTCTTCACTGTCTATTGCCTTCTAATTTGCGCACGAGAGCTCCGATAGCTTGTAGATTTTGTATTGTAAACCTCAATTTCAATGCGCAAACAACTGTGCTAATAGGTTTTTGATTGGTCATGGCCTAATTGCCAACGGTCGTTGCACTATATGCCTTCTATGCGACTGAATGTTTTGATTTCCATACAACATATTGCTTACATGTCGAAAATCTTGGAAACAGGTTTCCAGATAGCTCTTATCACCACCATTCTCCATGGGCGTGGGACATTTCAAAAACAAGTCTATTTTATTAGTTTTACTAATGCTGATATCAAGCATTTTGGCGTTTGCTTGATCCTGCAATCTTGACAAAGAAACAAAGATACTAAGTTCTACAAGTATCATGCTTCTCTTGCTCCACCGTAGCTAATGTCGCTCGCTTTCCTGTACCACCATATTTCGATCAATATTCGCAATGTCTAATACTGGCTCTCCTCTCCTCTCTACTGAGCTCCATCCGACCTGACACTCAAAAGATGATGGATCAAGATCAGGTTCATGTTCATGTTCGTTGGTAGTTTACAGTAAAATTTACCAGGTTTAATGCTTGTTTACTTTGAAACATGACTGAATCACGTATAGCTGCCACCTTGCTGACACTTGATTTACCCCTTTTACCAATATAAACTCTGCTTTCAAATACAAATCACTGTAAACACCAGCACATGAACTCATGGCTGTGATTGTCTGTCACAAGCAGAGCAACTGTGCATTTCAAAAGCTTTCTCTTCTCCCTTTTATTACTGATTTATCGCAAACCCTCTTCATCGTCATCATCGCCTTGCACTGTCATATGGGAGAATCCCTTGTTCAAGTCGTTTTGGCCAGCGGCAGAAGGAGGTCCAGTAGGACGACTGTATAATTCAGCTCTCGCTTGAGCATGAGACATACCACGCACATTACTGTTATCAGCAGCACCTTGGTACTGGCCAGGAGGTCGAATATTGCTGTTGCTACCACCACTGTTCAATTCATGTCTGCTGGGACTCGTAGGAGATAAAACTTCACCAGGCACTCTCAACATGCGGGCCAGCTTGACAACTTCATTATCTAAAAATGTCACATGCTGCAATCGAGTTGTCTTTACTAGTAATTCCTGATCTCTCTCTTCATAGGCCTTGAGCAAGTCCTCGGCAATCTCTGCTTCTTCGCTCTGTGCAAATCCTGCGTCATTTCTATGCCAAATCATTGAATGCGCTGTGCCATCATCTCTCATCACACTCCACTTTACCCACACATGGCACTGAATTGCTTGCCTGCTTCCACATCATCTCCAATAGCGAAAATCAGGATAAGAATGCTGAGATTGGCCTTGTACAAGTGAGATCTAGCTGTAAACTTTTGAAGAATCACAGATTCTCGCTTCAACATATCAATGGCTTTGTCGTACCTGCTCCCAGTTGTTCAGTTATTCCTCTTTGCCTTTAATAAATGCAAGAACTTACTTTTTGTTTCTAATCAACAATGAAATGGCCTTCTTGAATATATCCACAGCAAATCTTCCTCGGTCTTCTTGCTCAAACAGAGAGCAGGCTTTACTGTACATGTCATAGGATGCATTGACATCGACATTCTCCAAAGCTCTATTTCCATCTGGTATGAATAACCCCATAGAATCGCATATCCATCGCTCGTCCTTTTACCTTCCTGCCTTTTCCAGTTGTTCAGCAGCTCTATCGATACTGCCTACAGTCCATCCCACTTGATTAGATACTCAGACACACCCGTTATCGAGCTACACATCAGTGCATACCTTGTGTCATGAAATAATTACTAGCACGTTGATAGGCCTCAGCCGCACGTTGAGGCTGATTTAAATTTTGTGCCAAGATAAATGCTGCATTCTCGAGCGCTTTTCCTGCCAAATGAATACTATTCAATAGGGTCAGTTCTATGAGCATAATGAGCATTGGGATTGGAATACGAACGCATCTGCTTTTGAAAGCGCTTCGGAGGCTTTCACATATGCTTGGACAGCTTGATCATAAGACTTTGCGATTTTGAATGCAGTGGCTATCAAATACAAAGTTGAGCTGCTATTTTTCTCGGCTGTTGAAGGCATATAACCCTACCTGCGCGTTCATAATAGCTAGCAGCGACATCCCAGTCAGGTTTTCTAAAGAGACCTTTGGAAGCACTATTGTTGTAAATGCAAAAAAAAAAAAAAAAAAAAAAAAAAAAAAAAAAAAAAAAAAAAAAACAATCAAAAGTGAGTAGTCAGTTATGGTTTAGACATGGATCACCGCAAACGTACGCTTTATCGCCTTGTTGCATGTATTTTACACCGTCTCTAATCTGCTCAGCATCCATTTTTCAGTGTATTATTTCGAGGCACAATGAAAGGAAAGGGAAAAAGAAAAAAAAGAGTGTAACAATAATGAGCAAATGTTTGTTTCGGGTAATGAAAGGGATGGCTCTTGGCTTTTGAATTCCTCGAATGAAAGTGGATGCTTTATTTGTAAATGTATGTCATGCGATTACAGGTTAAAGCATCGCAAAATAAGGTACAGTAAACTACCAATGAATCTGAAGGTAGCCATACCAGCCACCATCCATAGAATAAAGCCAGTGTACGCAGTGCCAATGGCATTGGAATAGTCCTCAGGCAGCTGCTTTTGCTCACTGTTGGGTAAAAGGGATTGGAAACTACCGCTTGTGACAAAGGCAACTAGAATTGCATTGCAGCCTATCCAGGTTAGAACGAGACGAGTGCGGAAGCCTCGATAATAGTCATCTTGTTTGGTTTTGGGTGCTCGGCTCTGTATTGTACATGAGTATAATGGACTATCTAAAGACACTGTTACAACATTTACCTCTCTTACTGCTTCAGGCTTCATCATCAGGCTCTCCAAAGCCTCATCATAATCCCTGTCGGTTGCATCGATACCATCTTCCAATTCCACTTCAACAGCTTCAACCCCCTTTTCAGTGACCATGGCTTTACTTGCCACGCCCAAATCCATGGGCATCGTATTATCACCCTTTGTGCCCCAACTGTCATGATATTGTTAGTATTGTCTCTAGGTGGCTGGCTATGTAAGCATTACCTGACATCATGGATATTACAGAAAGCATAGACATTTAAAATATTGACATAGGTTGGCAGCAAGAACAGGTACTGAGAGAAGCTAGTAACCATATGCCATGGATCCAGATACAGCAGACTGGCTAAAATGTACAGACCATAGGTAGCAAGCAGCGATATCACCACATTTCTGAATTCAGGTTGACTCAGCAACAGAGAAAAATTGGCTAGCGCATTATTGGGATCCCATCCAGGGGTATTGATGCCTTGTTGAAAGCTTCTGTAAGCCAACCAACCACCAGCAAATGAAGTGTACATCATGATGAGCCCGTAAGCGATGACTGATATAATAAACATCCACTTGGACCTACATGCGATGGTTTTGCGTGAGTCTCTAACGATTTGATGGCAAACTAAATGATTTACCCCTGAGGCCTATTTCCCATGGAGCATATGAAGGATGTGATAAACAGGAAAATGTAGAGATACCGTAGCGATAGAAAGATGCGATCACCCCAACCATTGCCAAATGGATCCATTTCGGGTGCTGTCAGTGATTTTGTAACAAAGTAAAATGTCAGGTAGAAATTGGCCTACATATCCCATGATTCAGTATCCAGCATCTCGGTTCGCAGTAACTCAAAAGCACTCACCATGCCCAGCCAGCTAAAGATGAGGTTCAAAAAGTTGAAGAAAAACTCAATCGACAAGGTGATCTTTCGCCCAACAGAGTGATTTGTGCACCAAATACGAGAGAAATGCCATTGAGAATACACTGCTGCAAAAAAGCTGCCATTCAACCATCGACGCCGTTGCGAGATAAACTCGGGTAATTGATCTGGACAGTCTGTTTCGCCAAATGCCGTCTGCACATACTTGAGAACCCATTTCTGATGTTTTTTAGCCAGTAGCTCGAAACACAGTATACGGTCTTCAGCCAAATACATGTTAGCAGTGAATATGTCAGCGTCGTCTGTATCATCATGCTTCTCGCCTAAAAAGTACTTTTGCAGTGGCCCCACTCCGTTGGCATCGTTTTGCAGTGCTGCGTATCGATAAGCCGAGAATGCGCCCGGCAGCACCGAGATATAGCCAAACACGGATTCCAGCGGTTTATCTAGTATATTGGACATTTTGTATTCAAAGTTCTGTGCTGCTACCAGGGGATTCAACAGATCGACACATGCCGTGCCTTTCATCACGCATATTTCACCACAAGCACCGCCTACATTTGGGTTGGTATCAAATGCTTTCCAGAGATGGTAGATGGATGAGTTTCCCGGACGAGTGCCGACATCCAACAAGACGCAGATGTTGGGCTGTAAAATGGGCCCAAAGGCATTGAAAAACCAGCGATGCGAGTTGATCTTTTTGGCATTTTGTTCCTTTAAGCAAAAGAGCACCTGCACCGGCACGATTCCCTTTTCTGCGCCTCTGACCTTCATATCTGAATCAACTGAAATTTGTGTGGTGTACTATATATGCTTGCGTGAGCGCATTGTTAGCTCTCTGAATAAGACGACCTACTTCGAATAAATGCGCTTGCACTGGTTTATCATTCACCATGTTCTTAGCTATACCCTTCTGATATACACCCATGGTAGTCAATACATCCATGACTCGTGGGTCACACTTTTTGCGACCATCAGCCACAATACACACCACCACCTTCTTCCAGCCTTCTGTATCCCACACTCTGGAGCGTGATCTGGAACATAGGTGCGCAATGTTCTTCATGACACCGTGCATTGTTCGACAAAACAAGACCTCGTCTTCCTACAACCACATATTGTCAGTGAATCAAGCATCATCCAGATCCATTGCATACTCACATTGTACATGGTCATGACAATGAAAAGCTCCGTTTCTCGCTTCATCAACTGAGGTCGCAAAGTGTAATTGTTGGCAGCAAAGTCATTGGGATCACAAGTAACAGCCGAGTACCGCATCATGCTAAATTCTTTTTCTTTTCGTGCACTGGCTTCCATCAATCGTGTGGGCACAGGGCAATCAAGGACAAAGTTGCCCTGAAAGAGGGGCACCTTCTTTTTGTGTGTATGGGATCTTTCCACTGGCTTTCGATGGGTATAAGGTGCATTGAATCGAGGCGAAGGGTATGCTCCAGGCACAGATGGACTACCACGCATCATCATGGGACTAGGCGCAATGGATCGCAGCCCAGGCTGATAAGGTCTGCACAGGTAACTAGGCAACGGTGGCACATTGTGAGGATCCACACCGGGATGGTTGGCATGCAGGAAATTGGCATGTGAATTGAACCCAGGGCTTCGGTGTCTTCCAGGCGTCGTTTTCTGCAAGTTGGTTGCAGCGTATCTGGAGGCATCGATTTCGTTTGGGTCGTTTTTTGGTTTCATTGCTGGATAAAGAAAGAGGCGAATCCCTTGATTTCATTTGGGCTACTTTCGATTTGTAAAATAATTCCCGAATGTATGTGCATTTTTCGCATCAAGATTGCTTGAAATTGTGAATATAACTAAATACATACGCTTTGATCGATTGCAGCGTCTAAGGCACCCTATTTTAGTTTGGCAAACATTGGAGAAACACACGAAAATAAGAGATGCTACCAGACACAGATCACAAGTATGTTATATCAAATGTTATAGCAAGGTCTCACTCTAAAGGTTTTAGGCTATTCTTAGGTCCTTTGGTTAAATCATGCTAATCATGATTTACAAATCAATTGTTGGGTAGATAGTAAACCTATCTGTATTATAGTTCATCATCATGCTGTAAACCCTAGCATAATGAAAAAGTATTTAAATGCATCCTTGGGATGCATTCTCAATAAAAGCGTAATTCTTTGGCAGATTCAATTTTACATTGTATTTTGACATAACACAGCAATCCGAATAAATACCATCTTCAGCAGCATTCATGCAGCCTCCTCTACTCTTTTTTGAGCTTCAAGCTATTCAATCGTCAATATATTCTTTATTTAGTTGATAATCCAAATAAATCAACTATTGATCTAACCCATTTAGCATTGTAGACCTTAAGTTGATATTGTAGTAGTAGTAATTGATCTGTACAATGTGATGAACGAAATGTTACCTGAAACATTATTCCTAAGCTTTGGACATCTTTGCTCTGTGATGCACTTTCATAGTTCATGGAAACAGACCGATAGATGCAAACCTCGACCATAACCATTGCCCAACATCTGATAACCTGGACCGAGAAAACTCAAACTGTTTCATGATCCTTATAAATCCGCTCTCTTCGATCTTGAGTAAACGTTGTTCTGAGTGATCAAGCCTTTTTTTTCAACTGTGAAAGTAGTTAATTAGCCTATTAATGTGGTGGATCGAGTTATTCAGGTAGTGGATCAAATTGCCAACTGTGCAGTGAAATCAGGTTTAATGGATTTCACAAAAAAAATAAAGCAAAGGTAAAATACAATAGAAATCAACTGTATTTTATTTTGTGTATAAAATGAACTGAAGATCCTGGAATTGAGTAAAAAAAAGAAGAGTATTTATACATTTGCATCTGGCTTGTAGGATTAGTGATGATAGAGAGCAATAGGTGCTGCTATTGCGATATCTGGCAAATGTTGTTGATGTTTGATTTAAAGTGGTAGTCAATGCAGGAGCACTGGCCATAAGGGTCGATTTGAGTAACCTTGCTGGGCTTGGGTGAGCTATCGTCATAGCATGATTTAATGTAACCTTGATGGTTTAAAGTATGATGTTTGTTATTGAAGCATGGAATCCTTTATCTGGGATATTGTGCAACTATGGCAGCAGGGCATAGTTGTCATATTTGAATATGCTTGTTATTGATTTAATTCTATTTGGATAAAGATACCATCACCTATTACGACCATCATGGGTGTGATTGAATACACTGTGATCAGGAGTGATTCATTCACACGATGTGCGATATAAGCGTGCATCTTTACTTTAGTATTTTTAAATGGGTTTTTGATGTACATTTGAGCGCTTTCATTAATAGATCCAAATAGCATGAATTTGAATGAGTGCTATTTGATGAACTTTGGTTTTCAATTAAGTTGCGTTTGGGTGGCTATTTCATTACATTGCCCCCAGCTAAACTTTTTGTGGGGAAAAAGTTGACAGAGATATGAATTTAGACGACCAAAAGTGATTTGATTGGAACATGTAGAAGGAAGGAAGACATAGATATAAGCAAGAGCAGAGAAACAAGTGCCGAAGGCAGTGGAGGAAGGAAAGCTGGAAGCTACTAATGTTTGCGGCGAGTGTTTTCGCGGCTTGTGTGATCAGTGCCTGCTTTTCGCTTGTTACCAGCCTGTTTTGAGGGGCGTTTGTTTGTAGGTAGTGGTGCATGTCTTTGATGTTGCAGTTCCTTGTTGAGCTTGACCTTTTCCCAGTATTTTTTGATTGGAATGGGAGAGGAGAACAGATCAGCTGTAATGTATTCATTTTCACGTTCAGAATAACCAGCCCATTTAACTAGGTATTCGATCTCATCATCATCGCGGTAGCGATGATCGCGAATGTCCTCAACTTCAAAGATTTCGTCTTCAATGGTAGTTTCATCAATGTTGACAGGTTTGAGTTCAGAAGGAGTATATTCACGATGCATGAGAGAATTGGTTTCGTCTTTTAGAATGTAATTGCCAGCTTGGGTACGCTTGACAACGAAATATGGGCCAGCATAGAGAGGCGCGAGTTTGGATGAACGACCTTCTTCAAGGCGGACCATGACAGGAGAGTCAAAGGCTAGTTCAGGTAGGATGTATCGACGTTTATCCATACGCTTATTGTATTCCTCAGCAAGCCGTTGTGTACGCTCTTGGAGAGCAGGAAACACGATGGTATTCATGTGTTCGATACGCTGTTGGAGCTCTTGAATGGATAGTGCAGGACGTCCATTGAGGTTGAGTTTATTTGGATTGGGATTGACGTTAACTTGACGAGCAAACATGAGACTGAATGGGGTACTGGCAGTACGCTCTTTGACTTTCATGTTGAGTGCAAGTTGGACGATGGGTACGCGATCATCCCAGTTATGCGTGTCATTACCACACATTTTGCGTAGCGTATGCTCGAATTGTTTGATAGCGTTCTCAGCACTACCATTGGATTGTTTGTAGTAAGGAAGAGAATGTCGCTGCTTGATGCCAAGCGTTTTTGTGAAGTGATCCATGAGATTGGATTTAAATTCCTTGCCGTTGTCAGCTTGTTGGATGCTAACAGCAACACCATAGTCACCATAGATGGATAGTATGGCTTGAGCGACTGTAGCGCCATTTTTGTTAGGAATTGGACGAGCTATAATGTAGCGAGTACAGAGATCAATCACAACCAGCACATAAACATTTCCCTTATCGGTGATCGACATAGGACCTAAGATATCCATAGCAATGTGATCAAAGGCGTCAAAGCTGACGATGCTTTTAGCAGGGTTGAAACCTCGACGAGCGACGTTGTGCTTTGCACATTCAGGACATGCTTTCAGTATTTCCTTGCAATCAGCGTAGATGGTGTTCCAATGTAAACCCAAATACGTGTGGATATGTTGAACCACAGACTCAATGCCAAAATGGCCTATTTTATGTGCATCTTTGATGATTTGAGCCCGATCTGCTTCTGGAGGAGCAATGTAATCCGTTGTAGAATTCTGGAATTCTTTGCCATTTAGTTTCACAGCAAGTACGTTGAGATTGCGGTCCTGAGAATAGACTGTGCGTTGACGGTTTACTTCAATCTTTTTGTTGGTGTCCCTTTTGATCAGAATGAGCTTATGCAGTTTTCTCATCTGTCGATCATTTTCATCTTCCAGCCATTTGTCTTCATCAATTATTGGATATACCCTTGAAAGAGCATCACAGAGAACATTTTCAATGCCTTTCACATGTGAAATTGTGAAGTGAAATTCTCCCAAGATTTCCAAGTAGCTCTGGAGCGTACTGTTTAGTGAAGTAGATGTGAACATGTAGGTCAATGCCAAATGATCGGTCAGGACCTCGATATCATTATGACCCCACAGTAGCGATCTAAATTTGATGAATCCAAAGACAACAGCGGCACACTCTCTACGGTTTGTAGACCAGTTGCGCTCAGCTGAATTGAGAGATCTGCTTACAAATGCAATGTGCTTGATTCTACCCAGTTTATCCTTTTGATAAAGACAGGCAGCGATGCCATAGAGACTAGCATCGCATTGGAGGAACATTTTGTCGTCCAACACTGGAGCATGCAGTATTTGGTTTGAGAGCAGTATTTGCTTGATGGTATTGAACCGATCAGTATGCAATTGTGTCCAATTCTTTTTTACGTCACTGTCATTTCGAAGACTATCGATGGGCTCAGCAACCTTGGACAGCATGGGACAAAAGTTTCGCAGATGGGAAACGACACCCATAAGCGAGCGAACTTTTTTTGCAGTTTTGGGAATGGGCCATTCGTCTATGTCAGATAAACGACGCATATCAATCTTTTGTATGCCAGGTCCAACCACAAAGCCTAGTAAAAAGACTGATGTCTGGAACCATGAACATTTTTTCACATTGATGCGCAGGTTGACGGATGTCAAGCGATTAACGGCAAGATTGATAAGCTTGATGTGGCTTTTCTCACAGATACTATGCAGGACACAGTCATCTATGTAGTGTTCGATGCCACCCCATACTTTGGTTGGATCAACTTGGGAAGGATCCATGTTCTTTTCCATTTCGAATTTCAGTTCGTCGGATAAACCAGTGAATAAAATTGACATGCATTTTACGAACAGAGAGCTCATAAATTTTAGGCCAAAAGGGGCCCTACACCATCTGTAAAAAATGCCATTATGCGAGAATATAAGGGCGTTGCGAGATGCTTCATGCACACCATACGAATAGTATGCTTGGTGTAAGTCAATTTTACTTATTATGCGTGCGCTAGAAGACACTCGTTCAAAGATTTCGTGAATCTTGGGAACCGCATAATTTTCATGGTAATTGTCATCAATGGACGCATTGATGCGACGAAGATCACAACACACTCTCAATTTGGTGGGTTGATCGTTCTCATCCTTCTTTGTCACCGTAATCAGAGGTGAATGGAACACTGATGAGGGTTTGCAGCGTTCAACAATCTTATTTTGAAGCCATTCTTTGATTTGTTTGTCAATCTCGGCATGCGAGTTGATGGATAATGGATACTGGCGAATGAAGCAATCCTTGGGATTGGATATAGGAACATGCACTACACTTTCAGGCATGGAACATACTGCGTCAGCAGGGATGTTCTTGTTGGCATTCAGAGATTGTTCGATCTGTTGTAGAAGGATGTGACGTTCCTGAGAAGTACCATAATCAGCATTTTCTGGATTATAGACGTTTTCAGTGTCATAGTTTATATTCTTGAATTGAGCAATTTCGTTT